ATAATAATAGGACTCGCAGAACTAGTGAACAGCCGCAGCAGCAGAGCTCACCACGATCATCCGACATGAATGGAACATCTGGATCCGCCGTGTCTGATGATAGCAGCCGTCTCTTTTTCCTTGATGTGGACTCTGACTCTGAATCACTCTCTGATGAGGAGGAAATGTTAACTTGCACCCAGGAAACGTCGCTGTCACTCCACCTCCGATTGGCCTGCATCCGAATTATAGATAACTGTAGTCCGGTTTTATTTGCTTATTTTTGATCAACAACTAATGTAGAAATTATTATATGGCAAACACTGCTACAGAGGTGACCGGACGGACCATTCTGTTGACAGTTGAGAGAGAACACGATCAACCGCGGGATATTTAACAAAAAAATACCGCAAAATTCAGTGCGGTCAATATGACCGTCTATGGCCGAAATAGGTAAATATGTTCATTTTTTTTGTTTTGCCTTACGTTTACGTAACTTAATTTATATGAAAAGCATTTTAAATGAAAATACAGACAATTTTAGGAAAAGTCAGGTACCAGCAGGATTTTATTATTTTTTTTTCAACATAGTTATTGTAGATATAAAATTCAAAACGGTCAAAATGACCGTTGTGGCCGTTCTAGTGCTAGCCCCTTCCAGAGCTGAGATATGGAAACTCAAAAATTCGGCCCGAAAAAAAAAAAAAACGACAGTGGTACCCCTTACGTGTTTTTTTTTTGGGCGAAAAATGAAGTTTCTCCAATCTTCCCAAAACTCTGGATTCTGATAGAGGGCCACGAGACTTAGACCTGAGTGCAAACATGGAGGCTCTAGCCCCTTCCAGAGCTGAGATATCGAAACTCAAAAATTCGGCCCGAAAAAAAAACGGCCTGTCGTTTTCTTTTTTGGTGCGAAAAATTAAGTTTCTCTGATCTTCTTGAAACTCTGGATTGTAATAGAGGGTCATGTGACTTAGACCTGTGTGCAAAAATGTAGGCTCTAGACCCTTCTAGAGCTGAGATATTGAGATATTTATAATGGCATAAATGCTATGTGGGATCTCAATATCTCAGCTCTGGAAGGGTCTAGAGCCTCCATTTTTGCACTCAGGTCTAAGTCCCATGGCCCTCTATCAGAATCCAGAGTTTCAAGAAGATCAGAGAAACTCAAAATTTCTACCCCCCAAAAAAAACAACAGTGGTACCCTGTCGTTTTTTTTTTTTTTTTTGTGCAAAAAAATAAGTTCCTCCAATCTTCTTGAAACTCTGGATTGTAATAGAGGGTCATGGGACTTAGACCTGTGTGCAGCAATTTAGGCTCTAGACCCTTCCAGAGCTGAGATATTGAGATATTTATAATGGCATAAATGCTATGTGGGATCTCAATATCTCAGCTCTGGAAGGGTCTAGAGCCTCCATGTTTGCACTCAGGTCTAAGTCCCATGGCCCTCTATCAGAATCCAGAGTTTCAAGAAGATCAGAGAAACTCAAAATTTCGACCCAAAAAAAAAAAAACAAGTTTCTCCAATCTTCTTGAAACTCTGGATTGTAATAGAGGGTCATGGGAGTTAGACCTGTGTGCAAGTTTAAATGTAAGTTTCACGTTTGAGGGGGTTAAACCGTGACATCTACACGGCCGCATTAACGGGGCCCAAGCAAGGAGGGGGCCCGTGATTGGCTGTGGAGCAGATACTGCAAGCCATCTGATTACCAAAGCCTTACCACGCAACGTCCCCCACAAATTAGCCCTGTTATTTAGTGGCACTTTCCCTTGTTATATTCCATGCATTATCATGGAATTATTATCATTAATAGAGACGTTCGCAAAGACCCGCCTTTTTTAGTATGTGACGAGCCACGAGCCAGTTTCACGAGTCATGCATATCATGTTCTCATGCACTCACGCAGTGAAAAATACATCGCGGGGCAAAGACTAACGTTACACCGAGTGATTACGAGAGAGAGTTCAAAGCAGCTTACTGATGATATGAAACAAAGTCTCTCAACTTTCAAATATTGTCATTTAAGTAATTTCAATACCGTTTTCAAGTTCATATCCACCGACGTTACAGCTTTGTTGTCGGACAAAAAAAGTTGTCGGCTTATTCGGCGTTATGATTGGCCAGGCCACCTGTCAATCAAACCCCCGTGGGCAGCAGGGCAAAATTGAAACGTCAGGTTTAAATTTGATAGGCCTATGACAAATACATATTCTATATTTAACTTGTGAACGATCGACCTGCTGCTGCAAGTAGGCCTGTAGAATCCTATTAGAATACATCAACCAATAAATCGCCTACTACTCTTCACTTCATTCTAGTCTATTATTAAAATCATCATCGACCCCACAAACTTTCGGTAAGTTTGAATATTAACTTGATGGATGTATAATTTTGCTTTTTGTGTTTGATTAAACTCTATATTCACCTAAAGGACTGGCGATAATGGGTTGGTGTAGGTCAAACGTGTAAGTTTCACGTTTGAGGGGGTTAAACCGTGACATACACGTTTTCCAAAGTGGACCAACGTGATTATTTCACGTTTTGTCGTGATACCGGGTTGCATATCCATAGAAATATTTAAATTTTGCTGCGCATCGATTTAAGTAAACGCGTTTTTAAACATTGTGGTTTGGATACAAATTATTTCAAACTGCTCAGGCACAGTGAGCAGCGGGAGAGAATTCATTTTGTAAATGCTGGTTTTGAGACCATGGTGAACTTGAGACGGTTTTGCACAGCGCACTTGAATCCGACTCTGAGGTCTCAAAGACCCCGTTTGTACACCTGGTATGCGATCTGTATCCAGATAAGTTATCCGGTAATAAGTACTGATTCCATTTACACCTGGCCACATAAATGTGTTTTTGCAAAAGGGATATAAATCCGATCTTCACCTCCTGCGTTATATGCAGATTTATTGGATTGCACGCCACCAAAAGCAACAGATCTGAGCGGCATTTTATTGATCATCAGCTAATTTCCAAATCAGAGACATCAATAAGAGAGGCAACAGGCCTGGTAAGATAATTTCGTTTCTTTACTTGAAGATGTGTTAACTGCGTCTGTGACTTACTTTCACTTTTATTTGCGATGTTTGCACGTTGAATAGACGCTCAGCTGCTCATCTGCGGTGATGCGTGTCGCGTGTCGCATCTGACTATAACATGACATATAGCCTATATAACACGCTCTCACTCGTTTATTTTTTAGCATTTTTGGGAGGAGTAAAATATACATATGTGGTTTCAACAACCAGATTGCGTTTACAAGATCCGGACACAATGCGAGCCAGACTACCTCCAGATGTGGTCAGGCAGATCCGATCACGATCCGATCACAACGCGTTTACACCTTGCATTAACATGCGTTTTTTATTATCCGGATAACTTATCTGGATACAGATCGCATTTTAATACCAGGTGTAAACGGGGTCAAAGTGACAGACGCTGCTAATAAAGATGCTGTCGCCATGTGTGTTAATAATGTTAATCAAACATCAGAAAGAAAGTAATTTAACGTAACTGTATTTGACTGAATTACTTTTGCAAAATTAACAAGAATGAATGTTGAATTTATAGTGAAAACCATGTAGGCTATTGTATATTTGATTACTTTATATAATATAATATTATTCAGTGCTTAAAGTTTTTCATAAGTCGATTTATTGTGCCTTTGTTCTATTTTAATTTGTGACTCTTGTCATCAGTAAGCTTGAGATTATTTTCTTAAGCTACTATTATTTTTTGGTGATATTGAAATTGGTCACAATAATTATGAAATTTTAGTCGCAATACATTTTGGTATGATAAAAAAAATTGTGTTAAAAGTAACATAACTTAACTGTGAAGTATATCATAGATGGATAAAATGACTCGTATAATAATATAACATTTAGCTCATGTAGTTGGTGACCTAAAGTGGTGGGGGGGCCCTGCAGTAACTCATTGCCCCGAGGCCCAGTGAGCTCTTAATACGGCCCCTGTCGTTTTTTTTTTTTTTTTTGTGCGAAAAAATAAGTTTCTCCAATCTTCTTGAAACTCTGGATTCCAATAGAGGACCATGGGACTTACACCTGTGTGCAAAAATTTTGGCTCTAGACTCTTCCAGAGCTGAGATATTGAGATATTTATAATGCCATAAATGCTATGTGGGATCTCAATCTCATTTCTGGAAGGGTCTAGAGCCTCCATTTTTGCACTCAGGCCTAAGTCCCATGGCCATCTATCAGAATCCAGAGTTTCAAGAAGATCAGAGAAACTCAAAATTTCGGACCCCCCCCCAAAAAACGACAGTGGTACCCCTGTCGTTTTTGTTTTTGTGCGAAAAAAAAAGTTTCTCCAATCTTCTTGAAACTCTGGATTCTAATAGAGGGTCATTGGACTTAGACATGAGTGCAAAAATAGAGGCTCTTCCAGAGCTGAGATTTTGAGATATTTATAATGGCATAAATGCTATGTGGGATCTCAATATCTCAGCTCTGGAAGGGTCTAGAGCCTCCATTTTTGCACTCAGGTCTAAGTCTCATTGCCCTCTATCAGAATCCAGAGTTTCAAGAAGATCAGAGAAGCTCAAAATTTCGACCGCCCCCAAAAACAGTGGTACCCCTGTCGTTGTTTTTTTTTTTTTTTTTGCGAAAAAATAAGTTTCTCCAATCTTCTTGAAACTCTGGATTCTGATAGAGGGCCATGGGACTTAGACTTGAGTGCAAAAATGGAGGCTCTAGACCCTTCCAGAGCTGAGATATTGAGATCCCACGTAGCATTTATGCCATTATAAAAATAGTGGGTTCGTGGACGGTGGAATTATGGGATGGCGCTTGGTGCTACGGACTCAGGGGCCCCAGCTGAGTGCAGTAAAATAGTTTTATCATGAAAGAAACTTTAATTAAAATGTCCAAAAAATACGCTACCCAAATCCCCATTTCAAATAAAGAAATCGGATTTGATTCATTCTGAGTGACGAATATTAGTGATGTAAACAAATACACATGCACACATTTACTCCAGTAACAGATGCATATTGGTTGTGGAGTTTTTTTAATTTTCTGATGATAACATTTAATTCAAATATAATTATCACCATATTCTTAGTTTTACAATCAGTATTATAATACAGACAAACACATGCCAGATGAAAGGTCAGAAGTAGACAACCCATAGGGAAGAAGAAAAATAAAAATATGAACCTCTTTCTTAACAGCTACAGCCAGGCTGTCCTCCTCAAAAACCCAAGTCACCATGATTTTGCCAAAACGTGTTCCCAGATCAACAAATTTTGTTGAGCCCGCAACAATATTCCTGTCAGTCATAAACTTATCAGCGGGAAACGATAGTCGAATCACAGATGTTGATCCAGGAACATGTTGTACTTGGTAAATCATATTGACCTCAGGTACCCAAACATGCATACTACTAACTCACTCACTCAAACATCATTCAGATGTCCAGACACTACATTACCGTGTGCTTCTTCACTCACAATCATCCTTTAAATTCACAGTCTTTTACTTCAGTATGGGATACACATCTTACCATCCCGGTCCAGAAAGATTTGAATCACCGTCTACAGTTCTGTGATCAGCATAAAGCACACTTCAGACAGGTTGGCTCAGACCGCATTGTATTCTCAATACATCCATGCAAAGTGATCAGTCAGTCATGACCCTTTATAATCGGTTTAACCAAACAAATAATACAAAACTTGTAAGCATTTCTCTTTGTTACTTTGTGCTTGTCATTGTAATATAAATTCCCTGGTTTAGTGGAATGTGCTTCTATATTATTGTACCTGGATTCACTACAGCACCAAGTAATGCAAAGAAAAAAAAATATACAAAGAATTTTTATATTACAAGATGTACCATCCATCTTCACCGGTCAGCAAATATCAATGCATATTTAGTGGTTTGGATTAACAATCATTGAGGGAGGACGGGTCTGGAAGTCCGTAGTTTGACAGCTCTGAGAGAGTCACATACAGGTGGAAGCCTCTGGTAAACACTGGAGCTGTTTCTCAATGATACACCGCAGATACTTATATCTATTCACAAACAGAGAGAGACAAAGTTATTTAACCCTCTGATGCATGGGTTATTAAATCACAAAGAAATTCACTAAATTATATTTTACAATAAACAATAAGGTCTCATTTGTTAACAACATTACATAATGTATTAACTAAAAAGAACTGACAATGAGCAATACATTTGTTACAGTATTTATTAATGTTAGTTAATTAAAAAAAAACAGCTGTTTATTCATGCTAGTTCACAGTGCACGTTAAAGTTAACAAATACAACTTTTGATTTTAATAATGTATAGTAAGTGTTGACATTAATATTAACTAGATTAATAAATGCTGTAGAAGTATTGTTCATGTTAACTAAGGTAGTTAACTAATCGAACATTATTGTAAAGTGTTACCACACAAATCTAATAAAAAAACAATATACACCACATTCAGAAATTTGGCATTGGTAAGAAAATTTTCATATTTATCAATTGAATACTATTGAATACTGTCAATTGAATATGCCTGCGTGCGAGTAACCTCTGTATGTGTGTGTGCGAGTGTGTGTGTGTGTGCGTGACTTGTGAACTTTCTTGGAGCAGATCAAATAAAAAGGAGTTTATATATCTGACTGATTGTATTCATTGTCGCCTAATGCTCACCAAGGCTACATGTATTTGATCAAAAATACAGTAAAAACAATGGATGTTTGTTTCCGCCACAGAATAAAAAAAAGAAAAAAAATGTAACCAGCTATTTATTTATAACTCACAATTGAAAGTTTCTATCTCACAATTCCGAGGAAAAAAGAAATGCGAGATATACTTTAACTCACAATTCTGAATTCGCAATTTTTTCTTGCAATTGTGAATTTATATCTCACAATATTTGTGGGGGAAAAAAATCGGAATTGTGAGATGTAAACTCACAATTACAGGGAAAAAAAATCCAGAATTAGGTGTTAAAAATCCAGAATTTCTTTTTTTTTTATTTTGTGGCGAACACAAGCGTCCATAAAAAAAAATCTGTAATATTGGTAAATATTATTACAATTCAATTTTTTTTTTCTAATTGAATATACAGTAAAAATGTAATTTATTCCTGTAATTACAAATCTGAATTTTCAGCATCATTACTCCAGTCTTCAGAGTCACATGATCCTACAGAAATCATTCTAATTTGCTGATTGGCTGCTCAATAAACATTCCTTATTATTATTAGTGTTTAAAATGTTGTGCTGCTTCAAATTATTGTAAAAACCATGATAAATAACATATTTTTCCAGGATTCATTGATAAATTGAAAGTTCAAAAGAAAATTATTTGAAATAGAAATATTTTTGTGACATTACAAATGTCTTTACTGCGATTGTATTAATTACTTCCAAGAAATAAATAATAAATACATAAATAAAAATCATACTGGCCTCCAAACTTTTGAACGGTAGTGTATCAGGCTATATTAAATGACAATAAAATACTCTTTTTGTGATGAATTTAAGGAAATTACATTACATTACATTACAAGTCCATTGCAAACTAAAATAATAGTTAATATTATGCGATCACGAGAAATTAATTCATTATATTACAGTATATTTCTGGATGGCTATTAAAAGCATGAAACTGATTGTCCTTGTCTGCAGCCTTTGACGTCACAGGCAGCTCAGGATAGTCGCTAGTTGAAGGGCCTGTGATCAGCCGATTAGCATTGTCATGACTCGTGACATCATTTTCTGTGGCTCTAAGGGCAGCAGTCACATCGCATTCAGCCTCAAAAAACAACTGGAGACACCATGATACGATCTCAGAAGTAACAGCATTGTGTTATTGTAGCTAACCGCAGGTGCCTCAAGCATGTGCTCTGAAACATTAAATCATGCTTTAACTGATTCAAAGGTAAATCGTACCTGCTTCTCAGCTTCTGCACCTCCCTGTCCTCCTCTTCCTTCAGTTTGGTAATGAAGCTCTGCAGGACAGGCATCTCAAATTTGATGTACTGCGCCACCTAGAGCAGAGGAGAGCAACGCAGTCAGGTGTGTGGATTTATTTGTATTTCAGTATCAGTAACCTCATTATCAACCCTCCGTCTCACACACACACTCACTTCATAGGGAATCTCCTCTCCCAGATCCTGCTCCATGAGAAAGATCTTGCAGACGTGTTCGCATGGTCCCTGAAGTATTCTCACTACTAATGGGTAGTCTGTACGCTTCAACTGGACACGCTCTGAAACATACAACACATATGTACAACTAGATTTATACATTTTCTGAAGATTATATAGGGTATCATGGGTCTATAGACACAACTTGAGGAAAATTATCTTTTTAATACACCCACAGTGCATGATTGCAGAAAAAAAATAAAAAAAACTTTTTATTGAGTCAGCCGACTATTTATTATCATGTCAGTTATTGTGCCTTTAGCACCAACAATACTTTAACATATTCTTCATTTATTAAAAAAAAAAACCTGTTGATGACAGGTAAAAAAAACATTTACAGCATGTGAGAGTAGCTTAAACTGAAAAATCATTTTTTTTTTTTTTAAATACATTCTGTAATGTTATCGATTTTCATTTGGTACATAAATCAACATTTGTCAACATTATATGAATTAGAATCAATTTTGCGTTGCTGCCTGATTGTGTCAAGGATCAGTTTTCAAATTTCTACGTATAGAGTGAAATATAGTGTGCTTTTTAGCCCAGTTGTACCCTAATGTTTTTGGTATGTAATTGGTGCTTGTTCTTGCCAAAACTATTCACAATGGTGTTGTTATATGGTTGCTTAGGCGTTTTGGTTACTGGCCAAAAGTAAAATATTTTTGTTGTTGTTGTTTGGCTGTTGACATTATTATTTTTTTTTAAATGTGTCCAAAATTAGATTCTAGTCTAAAACAAGTTACGATCTTGAACTGACCCACATGCGCAAAACAACAATAACAATGTCGGCACACATAGGTGTGTTGAAATGAATTGTTTTAATTGAATATGTTTTCAATAAGACACTGGAAAGAATTTCTGTTAGTGAACAGTTTTGAAATGTGCAAAATGTAGAATCGGCAATTTACAGCGTGTGTCTGCGTGCAAGTAACCTGTGTGTGAGCGTGTGTGTGCGTGACTTGTAACTTAAGTACACTACTTGACAGTTTAATGTGAATGTTTACTAGTTCCAAATGCTCCTGTTGTCTGCTGTGTTCAGACTTTAATTTTGTTTAACTACATTCAGGAAGTGAACTTTCTTGGAGTGGTTCAAATAAAAAGGGAGTTTATATATCTGACTGATTGTACTCATTGACGAAATTGTAGCTATGTGGAGTAATATATTGCAACACATCGTGATGAATCATGATATCGAATTGAATTATTAACATGATATTTGCAATCGAATTGAAGTGTGAGACCAGTGAAGATTCACATCCCTAGCGCCACCAAGGAATTATATGGAAGCAAACCGCATGATGTGCCGCAGAAGCCAGCAGATTTGTGTTCTGCTGATTGCAGATTGTCTGTTGATATATCGAAATCGTCTTCCATTGCAGTTTCCTGTATATCTAAATGTTTAGATCTTCACTGTGAAAGATAACACTTCTAAAATTTCTGTGTAAACAATGAGTGACGTACACGCATGAACTTGAGAGATCACTTCCGGGGCTTTCCGGCACGCTTGCCCTCAGCTCAGTTGGACGTGACTGTGATTACTAGAGGTAAAAACGATGTATATACTGTTTGTTTTCTCACACAAACCGCTCGTTTCATATCTTAGGCCATCAATGTGTACTTACATTTACGAGTCATTAAATCATGTTTAATTTTGACTTCTCTGTGCATGCTCTTTGAGGTGGACCCCATAGCCCTCCATTATATGACTGATAGACAACAACGGTTTGACCTAAAAATATCAAAATTGAAAATACTGTGGAAACAAAGACACCTACATCTTGGATGCCCTTGAGGTAAGCTAAAACATATCAAAAATTCATTTCAAAGTGAACTATCCCTTTAAGTTGTGTTGTTCTCTGTCCACTAGATGGCGATTCAGTGTTGCACAGTCAAGTGTAAAATAAAAGAAGACAGCGGCTGACCTCCGCTGGTATGAACGAGGTAGAGGGCGAAATCATCTGGGCTGTTCTCAATCTTAAACTTGTTCAGTAACACCCGCAGCACCTGTGGTGTGGTCATGCAGCTGTTGATCCGTACGTTAGTAACAGAACCATATGCAGGAGTGAACACGGCCGTCTGAACGAGAGAGAGAAAGAGGAACAAGAGAGTGCATGACTGATCAACATGTACTCAAACAATCAAACACACACAAAGTTCTTTTCTCAAGATACCTTGTGGTTGTAGAAGTGACCGTTGATGGAAAATCTGTGCCTTCTGATTCGCCGCTGGTCACTAGGAGACCGTCTTCTGCCCCGTCTCAGTACACCGGCATCGCTTTTGGTTCTAAGAAGCTGAGCGGAGATGTCACACCCCTCTGCCAAGAAAACACAAGATGAGGCGGGAAAACCAGTCAGGTTTATTCAAAGCAATGGTTAAAGCAAGTTTTACCCTCTTCTTCTTCATGGTGTTGTGTTGTGCCGTTGCTTGATTGGTCCTCTGGGGGTGTCACTTCCACCTGAGGGGGGCATTGAGGAGTCTGTGTCTGACCCTCCTGACTAGACAAGTAAAGACAAAACAATTATTCCACTACACAATAGTCACGATTCACATATGTTTTGGCAAAGTGAACTTTGGCTGCGTCTGAAATCGCATACTCTCTTGATCTTGACCAGGTTTTTATTTACTTCTTTATATTATTGATATGTTATCAATATCATCACTGTGAAGCTGTTTTGATACAATCTCTATTGTAAAAAGCACTATATAATAAAGGTGACTTGACTTGGCGACCGCTAAAAAAGTAGACTCTATCTAGTATACTATATAGAATGTGTGTAGTATGAATATTATCTCGACATACTACATTTGCCATGTTGTCATTGTCACGTGAGCTACCAGCGTCAGTTTGCTTCAATGCCATTCACAAATCCTCTCCCTGGCCTCATGGGATAGTAAAGTGTCCATCATACGCACTTCATAATCTCACCAGTAGGTCATCCGGCTACTTTTTGCCTACTCTTTTATGAGTACTGTTAATTCAGACATACTTCTTTTTTCATGTACTGTTTTTCATCTACTATACAGTATAGGGAAGTATGTGATTTCAGATGCAGCCATTTTCTTCAATTTTCCACCAAAATTGTACCACAGACATCACATCACCGGTCAAAAAGTTTGTTTTTGAAAGAAGTCTCTTATATTTGTCACAGTCAGGTTGCAACAATGAGAAGAAAAAGGGTCTAAACACAGCAATTAAGGTTTGATTTACATTTCCCCTTAGAAACGGGAATAGAACAACCAAACTAAACACAACATCAACTGACAAAGAACTGAAGGAAACACAGGGCTTAAATAGAACAAACAAACCAATCAGATAAACGAATGACGGGTGTAAGACATTATCACTGAACAACTATGGAAACAAACTGAAACCTATCCCTGCGTCCCAACGTCCATACCATACATGTTTTCAATAGGAGCGCCGCGTCAACGATGTGCTGAGCGTTTTTTTTTTTTTTTTTTTTCACGTTGAAGCACCGAGCGCCCAGCGTTTTTTACTGGTCGCCGAGAGTTGAAAAATGTTCAACTTTGAATAAAACGCAGCGCTCATCACGGTCACTTCTTACCCAGCCGTCCAATCACAGTGGAGGAGGGGCAGGACTAAACCACACTGACCAACTGTCACAACATTCTTTCTACACAACGACATCAACCAACAGATCTAACCGAACAAAATGGATGAAAAATTAATTTTTAGTATGAAACAAATTATCTGCTAAATCAGTTACAAGTAAATTATGCTGCGGATATTCTGTATCATAGCAACGTTACGTCTCAACAGAAAAAAATGCTGCGCTGCCAAAACGCTCTCCAGCGCTCAAAGCACGGCGTCTTCAGCAGAGTTCAGCTCCATAAAAACGCTTTGGTGGACACACGGCGTAAAGGCTAATATTGCCCACAACCCATTGCGCTTTGGAGGAGGAACTACAAACATGAGTAAAATGTGTAAAAAAAAAAAAAAAAAAAAAAAAAAAGACAAGCCATGGCGGATATGCGCAACCGACAGTGAGAGACTGTTTTGCAAAGATGGCTCCTGTCTGTATACACAAAGTGGACTGTCTTAATAAAATATCTTCTTATTAAATAGTCTGTACACTTACAATGTTTTCAATGCTTCGTTTTGCATGTAGGGACTAGCGATTTCTTTTACTTATTATATGCCCCCATATACTAGCATTATAATCTAAACAGTTTTTAAAGATAAAACTCTTTACATTCGATTATCATGAAAACAAATCTCAGAGAACGGTTGTCTAGGTACCAATGAGTTATTAGACCAAAGGTTCATTTTGCGCCAGAGTTCACCTTTAACAGGGACAACATGATTGACAGGCCATTTTACGACAGAGAGCAACCGTTAAAGACGCAATCGTATGACGTGATAGTTTGCCTCAAAGCTTGTGTGCTCATACTGGAAACTGCTTGTTAAGATAACATAATTATCAAGACGTTACTGGCACAAACTGATGCCTACAGTCTTTCATTCTGTTTATCCACCTCAGTGCTGGAAACAATATTTGAGTTGGAGCTCTCAGATATAAATAGTTATTTTGAACTCCTTATTTGGCATTGAGGCAAAAATAGATCAAAACCATAAAACATTAGAAATGTGTGCATTATTTATATTACACAAGTCTCTGAGCTGAAAGAATGCCAAAAGCACAGTCATTACAAGGATAGAGTTGCTATGGCAACAAACAAAGCAGGCTTTCAGCGTATGAGCTGTCAAAGTTACTTGAGTTTAAAGAACTGGGCTTCGTTTCTATGATGATGAAGACGTTGATTTGCTATAGTTCAGAAGTTACAAGAACTGATTAATCACCATATATAACCAAATTGATGTTTAATGATGGAAAAATTCAGCAGTGGAAAGAAAAAAATCTTAGTATTTATCAATCTTGAGCAGCAAATCATATTAGAATGATTTGTGAAGGATCATGTGACACTGAAGACTGGAGTTATGATGCTTAAATTCCAGCTTTCAGATCATAGGAACAAATTACATTTTTTTCCTTCAAATGGTCTTTGTTTCCTGTTTACACTTCTGGGCTTCGGGGTCTATCCAACCCCAACAATTGATTGAGTAATTGTACAAAAAATATAGATTTTTAATCATACAAATAATATATCTTTTTTTTTGTTTACTTCTCATCTATTCATTAATGCTGTGTTTTTGGAGATATAAAGAACTTTGGAGTTATGAAGTACACTGGGATGAAGGGAACCTTTTTTTATTAACTAAAAGTTGATTGGGGTCATATATACCCCATGACCTGATTGAGGGCTACATACATATTTATTGTACTTTCATTAAATAAAAGCAGCCTTGGTCAACATTGGTCATCAAAAACCCTTTTTCAAAAAATCTTACCAACTTCAACCTTTTGAAAGTCTATGTCTAGTATTTAACCATTTGATTAGTCTTATTTTACAGTAAAAAACATCCGAAAATGAGATATATTACTTGAGGAATAAGATGAACCTTCTTGATAAGAAGAATTACAGATTTTGGTAGTGCACTATTCTTTCTCTCTTGACTGATGTTTACTAGTTCCTCAATAAAGCATGTATAGGAAGTCAATGAGCTAATGTAAAAATATCTGACCTCTGGTTGTCTAGGTTACACCCTGAGTGCCAGGAGGTAGATGAGGGAGGTGGTCTGATTCGCTCATGGTCATCCTGCATCTGAAGCCTGATTGGTCGACGCAAACCCCATGAGATATTGAGAAGTCCTTCTATGATCAGCTCCTCCTCTTCCTGCCGGCAGAATGCAAAACAACATACATATACACTCGTACTTGAGTTTCTTATGCATAAAGGGCCTGAGTATTAGGTTTAAGTGACCCACAAGCCACCTTTTGACTTTTAGAATAAATGAGGCTTATAAATGATAAATACAGCATGTCAGTTATTTGGCACCTGGGCAAGCTGCATTTACAGACACAAAAGAAGCCTCAGTCACACCCACACAGGGGCAAACATCCCCTCCAGACACAGACGCGCATTACTCCCCTGACAATAGTGAATAATTGAGAAAGCACAGAAGGGGTCAAACGCTTCCCCACCTGCCACACAATGAGTGTAAAACTCTCTTACCTCTCTGTGTCGAAGCTGCAGGTTCTTCCCTTCATAGTAGAGATTGTAGGTCTTTAAATACGAGAGAATGTTGCTCCTGAGAAAGAACAATGTCTTGCTTAATAATCTATTTAATCTTTAAAATGTTAAACATCTTGTGTCAGGGGGTGTGTCTTAAAAGTTCATTGGGTGCAACCATGTGATAACCTTTTCAAGTAATTTTTGAGTGAATTGACAACTGAATAAAAAAATGAATCTAGCAAATATTTTATTAAAAAATACCCAAAGTTGTAGTTATTTCTAAATTTACTGTTTGATACAGTATGTATATAGTTAATCGATGTGCATTTATTTCTCAATTTATAAAGTGATTTTTTTCTTTTGGATATACACACACACACACACACACACACACACATATATATATATATATATATATATTGTGTAAGCAAAAACTTTGTTGGATGCGATTAATTGCAATTAATCGCTTTGTATGTGTATATACATATATGTGTGTGATTATTGTATATATATATATATATATATATATATACACACAGCATATATATAAACATAAATGTCATATATTAATATATGTAGTTGCAGTATCTAATCTGGTTACTATTCGCATTCCTTTCTACTAGATTAAAGTAAAACTAGTTAGATTAATTAATTAAATCAATGTTCATGTCCATGTATTCTGTTGGGTTTATTAAAAATATTGACATTTACTGTACATAATTCATGTATTCTGTAATAGTGAATTATTACAGAAGCGTAACAGGACAAAAAAACAACCATTAGTTCAGATGTTATCAAGAGTTTCATCAGATTTATACTCACTTGCTGATGATTTTGTTTTCTCCAACCCGTACCCCGTCATTCCTGTCATCCATTTTATCCCAGCCACGACTGCATGGAAGCACTCTAGAGAGACCAAGAGGGAGGAGAATGGAGAAAGAGAATCTTTCTGTTTCTTGTTTTAACATCAAAGAATTAACTCTTCAATATCTAGGTCAGAGGAAAAAAAAGAGAGTAAGAGAACGAGAAACCCTTAAAACAAAACAAATAATGTATGCATAACTCACACTCCTTACTAACTCATGTATTTTTGATATCTCTAGACAAGAGACTCATGCTCTGTTCAATATCCCACAAAACCACGTGAAGCCGACATCTGCAAGTCACAGCTGAAAGTAAACTATTCATGAGGATGTGACCAGAATAGACATGCCGGAGCACAAACTGGAATAAATAAGAGTATTGAAACAGTTCATCAACACATTTAAAGACCCCGTGAATTGAAAGCTAAAGTTTTGTGTTCTTTAGTCCACATGTGTTAGCTTTGAGGTCACCTCTAGTAAAATAAACAACCAACCAACCAACCAAACAAACAAACATATACTGACACACTGACTCTGAAAAACCACGTGGAACCATATGTCCCTCCACACACGTTTGAGAACTTTCTAGTAACTTGATGGAAGAGTGGAGTAACATCTCACAGTAAATTGCTGGAAAATCTTGCACAGTCCATGAAGATGAGATGTATTATAGAACATAAATCAGCTGTCCAGGGACTCATTATTACATTTTTGTTTGTCATATGTGAAATTTGTTCAGTTTATGTATCAGTTGTTGAACATTATGTTCATACAAATCTTTCCACAGTAAGAAATAAACAAACAAACTAACAAACAGTTGAATGTTTATTTAATTGCTACTTTTGTCAAAGTTTGGGGTCAGTAAGATTTTAGTAAGAAATTAATACTTATTATTATTATTCATCAAGGACACATTCAATTGATCAGCAATTGATCAATATTACAATATATATAATAAATGCTGTTCCTTTTGGAACAAAGAAAACCAATTCCACATAAAAATTAAGCAGTAGCCTACTGTTTTCAACATTGATAATAATCAGAAATGTTTCTTGAGCACCAAATCAGCAGAATGATTTCTGAAATGATGCAGAATGATGCTGAAAATTTAGCTTTAACACCACAGGAATAAATTACATTTACAAATATATTCAAATAGAAATCAATTATTTTAAACTATAATTTTAAACTTTATATACTCATATCTGGCATTTAACTTTGATGCGTTTCGTCTTAAAAAAAATACTAATGACTCATGCTGCACTACACAGATTGTTGTCCAATTAAATTATCTCTAGATTAAGAGTGTCTCGCCCCCCAATTTGATCAGACTTAAAACATTTAAACTGGTAAAAGATGCTCAGTCATAATGATGATCTATATATATATATATATATATATATATATATAAATAGGAATGCCATTGACTGAAATACAATCAGTGCTATAGGATAATACGGTATTGTCCCTTGTGGTTACTTACAGATGAAACCAGAGGCTAAAATGAAACAAAATATAAAAAAAGCCTACAAGCAAAATAGCCAAGAGTGCAATAACCGAAATAAAATATTTTTTAAAAGAAAACATCTTCTTAGAAAATATTTCCTTATATTTTTTATTTATTTTTCAGAAAATATCTATAAAAGTTCCTCAACAGTTCACATGCAGAAATGCTTTATATATTTCCAATGCGAAATTTGAAAGATGACAGAGTACACACACACATATATATATATATATATATATATATATGAAGAGTTCAGATGCAAAAGCCTCTAAGTGACATTTGAAATTTTCTTCTAGAATGATCATTTTTATCAAGCTTGTATATTTAAGTTCAGTAATTTCACTTAAATGGCAATGATAATTACCTAGTAATTGTTATTTAAGTGAAATTACTGAACTTAAATATACAAGTTTGATAAAAATCATCATAAAAGAAGAAAATTTCAAATGGCATTTAGAGGCTTTTGCATCTGAACTCTTCATATATACAGTATATATATATATATATATATATATAAACTACTTATACCTTTTCTATAAGGCTCAATGGCTGACACATAAACTCATGTTTGGAGGTTCCCCTGGCACAATACAAACTGCTTTCATCAAGGCTTCCTTCCTCACCAGCTGGAAAGGCTTTACTGACGCTTCCGGAGACGGGGACAGGTGCAGGACAACAGGGGTACTGTTACCCTGCTGATACAACGACTCAACATCTCTGAGTGACTACAACTCTGAACCAATCCTACATGCTGCCGCTTTATTGTATCTCATTCAGTATACAACTGTCATTCCAACAAAGCTGAAATGAATAACATCAAACCATATCTAACTTTAATGGAACGATACATTTTCACTCTGAACCTAACTTTAAAGGAACTAAAAGGGAGGAAATTGCATCTGCATTGTACATGGTTTCATAACATTGTAGGGGCGAATCAGTGTTACGGGAATAGTCCACCCAAAAAATCAATAAATAAATAAATCTGTAATTATTTACTCACCCTCATGTCATTTAAAGCCTGAATGACTTTCATTGTTCTGTGGTAGATAAAATAATATATTTTGAAGAATGTTGATAATCAAACCATTTCATTTCCAATTGACTTCCATAATATGGACAGGAAATAAAACGGAAGTCAATGGGATCCAAAAACGTTTGATTACAAAAGTATCTTGTTTTATATTCCATAAGAAAAAAAGACAGTCATACACAGGTTTGGATTGGAACGAAATGAGGGTGAGTAGCCTAAATAATGACAGAATTTTCACATTTATTCATCTTCATCTGAAATACAACAAAACAGCACATTTCAAATGCCACAAGACATTGATTGAAATCCTGACATTTATCAACAGACTGAAAAATACTTTCCAATAATCTGTCTCACTATTTCATGGCATGTCTTAAACTAGACATAAAGACTTAACTGAGCGCACATTACCTTATCTCTGATGTAAAAGGCTCTTTTGCAGTCTTTAAATGCTAAGGGAGTGCTGAACCCATGTGACACTCTCCTAAACTCTTCCTCTCAGATTTGCACAGCGGAAACTGACACAAGGTTTCAGACTTCCTCAATTGTGGTTTCGCTGGCTGCCTCCTCCTCCCTTTATCTCCTTGTGTCTGTTTCTCTCTCTTTCTCTCGCTGTCAATGTTTCACCATCAAGCATATACCAACAAAAGATACATGGAAAACCTATCCACTTTATGAGCACTTAAAATCACTTTAGGAGAACTACTTAGTGTGCACACACAGACGTGAGCACGTAACTCAAGGGTCTGGTACACACACAAATACACACACACAAGGCACATTTGACCTAGAGAGACCCCAAATGGAACCGTTAAAAGCCTCATACAAAACTCCTGCTCCATTCTTCATTCACAAGATTATTATCCCACGTGCAAAGTTGCAAACGGGTCTCTCTTTTGCACGGGCATGTTTTCTTATCAACACCACCATCTCCTGACCTAGCGTTAAGGATGTGTGGCAGTTAGTGTGTGTGTGTGTGGCCCCTCCCACGTCTTTCATACACACCACTCGCTGCGCTCAATCAGGAGATGATGAAATATTCAATACCAATCGACCCAGAGCAGCTTATTCTGACATGAATATTTCATATCCCAAATAAAGTCCTGTCAGAACTACAGATGATTAGTATAAGAGCTATTAGTTTCTGAAACACGTCCAAAAGTCATTGCCAACAGATAACGGGCATCAGATGATAGAAGGGTCTGTATTTAGGGATGCATGATATATCAGTGCCCTCTTGACCGATACAAGCTCATTTCCCTCCCATCTAACACTTTAAAACACTAATGTTAAATGTTACTGTAAACGGTAACACTTCACAATAAGGTTCATTCGTTAACATTAACATGAACTAAGAATGAACAATGCTTCTACAGCATTTAGTTAAAGGAATAGTTGACTTTGAAATTCATTTTTGATATGTTTTAGGGCATCCAAGATGTAGGTGTCTTTGTTTGCAGTATTTTCAATTTTGACATTTTTCAGTCAAACCGTTGTTGTCTATCAGTCATACACTCGAGGGTAAAGGGGTCCACCAAAGAGCATGCACAGAGAAGTCAAAATTAAACATGATTTAATGACTCGTAAATGCAAGTACACATTGATGGCCTAAGACACGAAACGAGCGGTTTTTGTGAGAAAACGAACAGTATTTATATCGTTTTTACCTTGTGTAATCCAAATGATCTGAATCAGTTGTGCAATGTCCAACTGAACCGAACTGAATCAGTTCAATGTTACGCCGGAAGTGATCGCTTGCATGTGACATCACTCAATATTTACACAAAGATTTCGGAAGTTTTACCTTTTACTAAACATATTTAGATATACCGAAATCGTCTTCCATTGCGGTTTCCCGTATATCTAAATATGTTTAGTGAAAGGTAAAACTTCCGAAATCTCTGTATAAACAAAGAGTGACGTAGGCGCGCAAGCGATCACTTCCAGTGCATGCGCAGACCGAAGTGCCCGGCTATGATTACAAGAGGTAAAAACTATATAAATACTGTTCGTTTTCTCACACAAACCGCTCGTTTCGTGTCTTAGGCCATCAGTGTGTACATATCAAAAATTTATTTCAAAGTGAACTACCCCTTTAATGTCAACATTTACTAATAGGCTACATTATTGAAATCAAACATTGTAATTTGTTAACATTAGTTAATGCACTGTGAACTTACACAAACAAACAATGAACAGCTGGATATTTATTAACTATCATAAACAAAGATTAATAAATATTGTAACAAATGTATTGCTCATTGTTCATTTTAGTTGAACTAATGTTAACTAATGAACCTTATTGTAAAGTTTTACTATTAGTTACCATTAGTAACATTAGTAAATCTCAAAATGAATATATATTTTTTATACTGTATGAATATCAGAATATTTATAGGCTACTACTTTGGGATCAATGAGATTTTTTCTTCTAAAGAAATTAATACATTTATTCTGCAATTAAATGGTTCGAAAGTGACAGTAAAGACATGTATAATGTTACAAAATATTTCTATTTCCAATAAATGCTGTTCTTTCTATTTATCAAAGAATCCTGAAAAAAAAGAATCCTGAAACACACAAAATGTAAGCAGCACAACTGTTTTTAACATTGATAATAATCAGAAATGTGTCTTGAGCAGCAAATCAGTATATTAAAATGATTTCTGAAGAATCATGTGACACTGAAGAAGACTGGAGTAATGATGCTGAACATTCAGCTTTGACATCACAGGAATACAGAAATAAATCATGTTTAAAATATATTTAACACTTTTTTTTTAAATCAAATAAATTCAGTGTTGGTGAACTTAAAACATGCAGAACAAGGAAAAGGGAAAGCCAAGAGAGAATAGAAACATTTCACAATCTTATCTGAACTGTTACTTTTTTCTTTTCCAGTCAACTACTTTTAATCATTTTTGTTTTACCCAAGACCAAATGTTGGTTAGAAAAATACACCACATTAAAAACATTTAGATAAAGAAAATGCAAAATGACCCTGCTTCAGTCTCTGCAATGCAATAAGCCACGCTTTTCACAGGAACTACTCCAGCACCACGCTTCGAGAGCCATGTACTTTTCCACGCTTACACAACTATGCCTTGAGCATTAAATGTGTCAGGGGAATCTATGAAAAATGAAAGAAAAAGAGCATGAGAACTATTTTTACAGTCTTTTGGACTCATGTGACCATCCAATCTGCCAGTTCTCCTAAAGATCAACTCAGCATCTACAAAAAGTATGTAATTATGAATAATTACATGTTTTTCCAAACACAGACTGTCTGGAGTGGACTGGGCGGGCACATGTGTGGAAGTGCTGAGAAGATTGTGGAAGTGGGACTGACTGGATAGAAGTTGTGGTTCGTGCCGCTTCAGCATCCAAATGGCTAGTTTTTGCTTAAGTTACTATATTTATGATAAATTATTATTTTATGCCTGTTCATGCTATTGTTTGCAATGGCCTTAATCCAACCACGGACACCGTTCCATCCCTCTTTTTCCTTCCCAGTGGTTTGAAAGTTATTCCACCCTTGTTGTCCAATTCCAAAGCAACCACTCACTAACCTCTTCCTTTAAGATCCAGGCCAAGATCTCTGCTTGATGTTTTCTGGCCTAGATCCCCCTCCACACACACACACACCATTCCCTCACCTCCCCCAACCAGCTTCTCCTGACAAACACTATAGCTCGGCGGCTATTGTTTAAATTGCCACGGCAACCTGTAAAACACTAGCAAAGCTACAACGAGCTTCGTCCAACAATGCTGAAAGTCACACGTGTGCTTCTTCTTCCTTCCCTTCATTTATATGTTCAGCAGCTTGCACTGCCACAGTTGTCGGCATGTTTACAGATGGCTGCTGCTTTGTGTTTCTGAAACACTCAAGTTTTTATGAAATATGACACAGAAGACAAAACACAGCTATTCTTTGCATGGAAAATCTTCCTGGATTGCCAACTTGCATCTGAGACACTGAGGGTAGTGAGTAACTTATTTGGAACACTGAAAAAAGTCCACATTTATCAAAAGAAATGGTTTTTAGATGCAGTTGGCCAGTTTAGAAAAACTATTCTCATTTTTCTCCCATGGTTTTGGACTGGAAAGATACTGAAACTCAAACGTGTCTCAGTCACACAGCCTATCTGAAGGTGTGAGGATCCCTGTTAAAGGGATAGATCACCCAAAAAAAGAAAATAATGCTAACCTACTGTGTATGCAGTTTTGAACCAGTATCACTTTTTTTTTGTCAGTGAACACAAAATATGTTTTTTAGAATATCCAAACACGTTTTCATGTGGCTTTCGAGAAGAATTGAGTGATGTGTACAGTATGAACTAAGTTACTTAAAAGTGTTCTTGAAGTTTTATACAACAATTATTCCCGGTCCTCAAATCTGATTGGTCGAGCAGCATTCCAGGAGTGCTGATATTCACGGTGATTGTTATTTATTTTTTCCTACGCCATGACTCCCCTTTGCACGAATTATGGGAGTAACGTTAATTTTTCGTTAACCGGAAAACAATCAGTGAAAGGTTTGCTTTATGAGCGCAATAAGCATTCTTAAAAAACTGAGTACAATAAAGCCTAGTTCACACTGCATGATTCACACTGGTTCACACACCAGTTTGCAAATCGTTGAGCTTGCCGACAGGTCAGGGTGCTGTCGCATGCAAATCGCGGAGGATTGGCGGGCAATGAACGCTCTCCAATCTGTTAGTATGAAAGAGCCAACAACGCATCAAAGACGCTCGCAGACACGTCGCCGAGCCCAGAAAAATATCTAGCATGCTACATATCCAGAGCTGTCGCACAACTGAACCTCACGTGATGTCATGAGCTACAGCCAATCAGAGCAAGGCATGGGTTGAGGTCACCAGGTAAATCTTATTTATTTTATTTATTTTTTTGCATTTTTTTCTCAGAGCAATTCATCGCGCAAACAGTTTGCAGCACTAGTTTCTGTCTATATTAGCGAGCTGTGTTCTTCGTCTTCTTCGCTGATTGGCGCGCGTGCTGTTTCACGTCATTTCCAGGTTCGTTTTATCGTGAGATTTTTCGTGACAAAACGTGGTTTGTAGACAAGATAGAATCGTTGGGTGACAGAGTTGTTGTCAACTTGTGTAGTGCGTTACCTCCTGTTGCGGATCAATCACATTGTGTCGTGTGGTGTCAACAACTTGAACACTCCTGATTTCACAGAGAGCGAGTCATGTAGTGTGAACCGTACAGTTCAGCCCAACGTTTTAAAATCATGTAACGGTAGTGTGAACTAGGCTTAAGATGACATTATTCTACTCACAATTCAACCATCGAACATTTAAAAGTGCATACATAAAAAGTGGGAAAAACATGATCAGGAGGAAAATAATACAGCGACTGAAAATAGCTCTTTCCATAAATATTCATGTTATATGTGCATTAAAATACAGTTATATTATTTGTCTGAAGTCTGCAAATAGAAAATTAAGGAAATATTACAGCTCAATCAGTCAAACTGATGGATACTGATCATTCGTGACTCAACCTTATGATTTGGAATGATTTATTCAGTCTTTTTGAGTCAAACTTCTCCAAACCGGAAGTGCCTCCCACAATCTAAATCGCAGGTGTATTGTTAGGAAAAAGGTGAATACTTCCACTTGCCTGTGACTTTGTAGACTCACAATGCTTGATGCTTTGGCTTGCTTTAGAACTATTTTCATAGGCGACAATTGAACTAGGCTAAGTGGCCAATTTCATTTTCTCAAAATCATATGCACAGTCAAATCAGCTGTGATTAACTGAGGCAAAATCAGAAGTTAGGCCTATGTTCTCTATTTAAATTTTTAAATGTAATTCAGTCCTACTCATGTGATGACAAGTTTGAATTTCCAGCAGCCATTACTCTAGTCTTCAAATCATTATGCTGATTTTTAATAAACATTTCAGTTGATGCAGCTGTGCAACTTGATATTTTTGTTGAAACTTTATTCTTTTCCAGTTATTTAATCACACTCTAAATGTCTTTATTGTCACTTTTGGTCAATTTAATGTGATCCTTGCTGAATACAAATAGAAGTTTTTTTTAGGGTATACTTTCATTGTACAGAAAAAAACAAGCACGAACTTCTCTATTTGTGCTCCATGGAAGAAAGAAAGTCATCAAAAAGCAAATATCGTGACAGACATGTAATTTTGGGTGAACAATTCAAGATAAACCAGACTGGTTATGTAAACTGGCAAGATATAATGCCAGGCGAGTCATAGTTACTTTCATTGCTATCACAGATATCTCTCAGGGAGATAAACGACCCTAAATGTTGAACACTGTGGCGCATTCTCTTGACAAGAGTCTACAGATGCTTTTGTAATCTGAAGCCTGAATACTAGATTACATTTCCAGTAAGACATTCTCAATGCATTTCAATGCACAACTGATCATACACATTATGATACAAAGTTGCAAACACATGGCAGTAGCAGATAACACAGTCATTCAATGGTACACAAGCGTCTGAGTACGTTACGTCGTGAGTAACAAACATCTACGAAAACAGTGAACACAAGCACCCACCACTCTCTTGTAGATCTCTGCTGCCCAGATGTCACGATGCTCGTCGCTCAGGGGTGTAAATCTTATCAATGTTCTACTGTCTCCAGACAACACTCAATCTGCACGAATCCACCATCCGAGACCATATGAAACGACACAGGGCTTTACTTTAGTCCAACTCGGACCGAGCATCTGGGCGAACAATCGCAGTTTGAGGGGGGCGTCCGTCCGTCTGAGGAAAAGGAGGAGGAGGAGGAATGCCCCCCATCTGCTGTTCTAGACCTCAGATAGCGCACCAGCCAATCAGCGCGCGCTCCGACGCCCCTTTGTTCACGCGCTGCTCCTTTGGAGAACATATGCGTTCTGTGGGGAATCCCCAAAACAGTAGCCCACTAAAGAGGAAAAGAAGGAACATAACATAAGCTTAATTTTTACCCGTAGTAACATGTGTGACTAAATACGCAAAAGGCTCGAATAACCCCAAAAAGAGCCTGCATTAAAGATTTATATCTAACTATTAATAACTTTTTATTAGTTAAAGAATACTGGGAAATGTATCACGTGTCCACAATGAAACAAAAACTATTTCACTGATAATAATAAGAACCATTACTAATAACGGAGTACCAAATAAACATATTAGAATGATATCCGAAGGATAATCATGTGACACTCGAGAGATGCACAAATAAAAATAAAATAAAGCATCGCCATCACAGGAATTAATAACATTTTTAAAATGGGCTACATTAAAATAAAAGTTATTTTTGATTGTAATAATTCTTTTTTATGCCAGCAGTTTGTTTCACTTGTTTATTCAAGGAGTAGCCTACACATTTTCTCATCCAGCAGTGGCAAATTTGGAAACAAATGGGTTAACGATGCTGGCAGTGAGGATTAGATTTAGATCATCATCATGGGTCATAATCAGGTCAGAAAATGAGCTGGGAATGGTATCGTTTTAATCTTTTGTCATCTGCTACCCTCTGATCACCCCATCTGTTCAGAACACTGTTAACGGGTTAATAAAGCCTAAAAAGCTCCAAAGTGTTTCAGGGGCTCAGGATTAAAAAAAAGATTTAAAACTAATAGTGTGACGTAAAAAGGACAAATTATTTTGCTCATATCTAAATATTGTGTTTTTATTGTTTTCTCTGTCCAGACATATTCACCAGTAGAAACTTTTTTTAGGCCTGTAATATATTACATCAAGATGAATGGTGATGCCTATATTCATAATGTACTTCACTGTCAGAAAAAAAAAAGGTACGAAAGCTGTCACTGTACCCTCATGGTACACTTTTGTACCTAAAGGGTGCATATGCACCCTTTTGGTACAAAAGTGTACCTTTTTGAAAAGGTACCGCCCCAGTGACAGCTTTCGTACCTTTTTTTCTGACAGTTTTTTTCAAACAAATGTAATTTTACTCATTTTATTAATGGTATTCCATCACAGTTGTGCAGTTTTTGTTTTTATACATAAAAAAACATTATTTTATGTAAAATAAACTTAAAAAAGACCCACATTTCTAACTTTAATGGGGTTAACAAGGATAATTTGACAATATTTAGTGTAATATTTTTGGCCATATTTTAGAAAATGCATTTTAAAAGTAAAAAATGATCACTTTAATCAGTAGATGGCTGCAGAGCTCCACTATTTGCTATTTGACTAACTGAAAGACATCTTTTCACAAGTTTTTTTTCCAGTTGGATTCATATCTACATATTAAGAGATCACAATTATAACAATAAAAATGACTTTTTGTCAAACATTACATTGATTAGAATCAAACCCGAAAAAGACGTTACAAAGAGAAAAGTTGGAGTCTTTAGAGTTTATCATTTATTGTTTCTGCAAATTTAGAAACAATAAATGAGAAATAAATTAGAAACAATACATTTTTTAGTCCGTTTTCTTTATTTTATAATCCGTATAATTTATTTTAGCAAACGTCATTTGGTGTCAAAAAGACCTTGAACAGCACAAAGGGTTAAGTTGTGTGTGACTAATCATGTTAACTCAAGATTGTAACGGTCAACACACACACACACACACCGGGCTGATGATGGGAGAAGCAGAAGTGAAGCACAGATGTAACCTGATATACTTAATGAGTTTTCAAGATCAGACAGGAGAGAACTGCGTTTATTTTTATTCAGCTAAAAAGATAGTAACTCAATCTTTCATATGAAACGTAATTTTAGTTTTTCCACCCGAAAAAAAAACAACAACAACAAAAAAAAAAACTAGTAATAATCATTAAAATAATTATTTTAAAGCTACACTGTGTGATTTTTACCCCATATAGCGGTGAAAAGGTATATGACCATCCAGTGAATATTAGTTTCTGTTGCTCTCAATTCCGATTTAGTTTTAACTCGTACGGTGGCCAATGTAGTCCAAGATTAACATGGATTCCAGTTCGACCTCATCCATGAGTGTTAACTCAAATGTAAACACGAAAGGCGAAGCTTGAACAGGTATGTCCCTCTTTGGCTAATGTACTTTCAAGATGGCGGGGCAACATGGCGACCGACATTACAACCCCTTACTCGTATGTATTTACAATGGCATATTATACTCACGAGAATAGTTTATTACTTATATGTGCTCATTAATGTAAATATACATTAATGAACACATATGTTTGAAAGTACTAAGTGTTTTTAGCTAAGAATAAACTAAGAGTTACACAGTATAGCTTTAAAATCTACTATTATTTTTAAAGGTGCAGTAAGCAATTTCTGTGAAAAACTGTTGATATTTGAAATAACCAAAACAAACACACCCCTAACCAAAATGATCACACCCAATCTTGAAGGTTTCACCCCCAAATTCAAAAAACCCTTTATGCAACACAGGCACTTCCCCCCCTAATGAGTGGATACGCCCCTTCCTGCGGATTGGCTACAAATGAGTTTTGGTGCTTCGCCCGATCCACTTTCAAAAGCATTTATCAGAAATTGCTTACTGCACCTTTAAGGACAATATAATAATTACAATGATACACACAAACAAATACACATAAAAAAGACAAAAGACATTATGATTTGCTCAGAAACATCTTGTTAAATATCTTTAGGAAGATGGAACAAAACAATTTCTGCTGTTTCTACTAACAGGAGCTCAAACGGCTGGTCCAAGAATATAGCACATTCTGCACTTAATATAGAGATTCTTTTATTTATAATAGTCTCAAAGCATTGCACCTCTTTCTAAATCTATTAACATGAACAGGAATTAATGTTAGAAAAATACAATATGAAAACAGTCTAGTTAACAAAAATATTCAATCAAACTAAAGATTAAAAAAAAAAGACAACAACAACAACCACAACAACAAAAAGATTTGTTTTACTCTTAAATAATGTAACAAAGTGGTGCGCTTTGCAGCATGATGGTTTAAGATTATATGATTTTTTTTTCCAAACATCTTTTTTGTCTGTAAAAAACAAACTGATGTATAAAAAACAAGAATAAAACATTAAAAAGATATTACTATTCAGATAGACCAAGTATATTCTTCAGATATATCCCCTTCAAAATAACTGAAGGATTGTTTCTCTTTGAATCACATGCCACTATGTTATTAAGACCCATTACAACCTTTAAATCTCAGCGGATACTGGGATTCATCACAACTGCTTGTTACCAAAATATTATCATATCAAAACCATGTAGCGTCAATATTGTTTCAGTACTAATAATATTGGCCAACGATATATATAATTGTATTTGTAAATGTATTTGTGTATATATATATATATATATGTATGTGCATATATATATATATATATATATATATATATATATATATATACTGTATATACACACACAGACATATATTACATATATACTGTACATTTAACACATTATCCTTATTACTGGACAAACAAATATGTATATGTCACTGCCATCGAAACCTTTATGATTGAGAGATATATCAACAGCACATGATGAAAAGGGTCTTATTCATAAGTGGTCATATTCTGTTTTCAATAACATTACAATAAACTATTGTAGGATAAAAGAGTTAGGAGATGAGGACTGACACCACTGCAAGCACTATGAGTGTGAATGGAAGGTGCTTTAGAGGCAAACGGCACACGTTCTCAGTTGCATTTACTTTGGATTCTCAGACAATCATTAAACAAAACTTCAGAGTGCCGACTGTTTTATAATAAAATCTTTCAGGAACAAAAAGTGCTATAGTTCTGGATTCCTTATGACATACAGTATGTTGTATGTTTTGACAGGAATTTGGATTGTAATTATTATTCCACTCGATTACTGTAGCATTCTGTTCCAAGTGTTCATTAAACAACTGTCATTAAATACTGTCACGTAAGAATCCTCAAACAAGTTAAAACACTCAGTGATTGGTTCATTCCTGTGATAATACACAGAGCGCTTTTTTTTTTTAATAAGGCTGAAAACAAAGTAACAGTTGTAACATTGTTACCAAGTGAAATGGTCCTTGCATAATTAGGGATTTCTGTAAAAAAAAAAAAAAAAAAAAAAGAACACATAAGATCATGAAGGCTATACTACAGGTTAGCTAAATTGTGTGTGAGAGGGAGAAAACTCAGAAACGTGTTTGTTGGAATGACCCACTGAGGAAGCACCAGTTATGTTGTAAATATCTAGACAGTGGAAATATAAAACCTCAATTTCTATCTGCATCAAGCTGACCAGTTGCAAAACACACTCCCCTCCAGTAGATCAAATCAATCATTTAGAGTGGAGTTACTTCTCCCATTCCCTGCTTTCAATCTTACAGTCAAGCAAAGGATTTGCACAAAGATTGTAGACATAGGACATATAAATAAATAACACACCAACCAAAGAAACTCTGCATCTAAAGTGGATACAGTATGAGATGGCAAGCCTCTGATACAGATACGACCATCGGATTGAGCTCTAAGTGAGGTTATCACAGAGCTGAAAGCACAACTGCACACTTTTAAATCAAGTAAGGCTCTTTCATGACCGCTGATGTCAACAGTCCATCTGAAAATGAGAGTCTCCAATGACAGAGAGAAATTAGGATGCTCAACAATTGGTTTCAATTGTGTAACCATAACTGTAAGTGTACATTGAAAGACTTTGAGTTGTATATGTTATTGGAAAGATCATAAAATGTATGTAAACAAAAATGAGAAAAAAACAACAACTAAATATTAAATGGTTAGTTCACCCAAAAATGAAAGTTCTGTCAGTATTTACTCACCCTCATGTTGTTCCAACCCCGTAAGACCTTCGTTCGTCTTCGGAACACAAATTAAGATATTTTTGATGAAATCTGAGAGCTGGATCACTCCTGCATACTAGTCCATAGGCTTCTTGAGGGATTGAAACTTGCCGGCCTCGAAAAGTTATTAAAGGCATCGTTAAAATAGTCCAAGTGACTTCAATGGCTAAATCTTAACTTTATCAAACGACGATAATACTTTGTGCGCAAAAACAAACAAAAATAACGACTTTATTTCAACTATTCGTTTATTTCTCTCTCTGCCTCGAGTCAGGTTACTAGTTTAACAGCTTCTGTTATTGTAAGTCACACGCATCAAACACATGACCAGCGTCGGCCAATAGTGAGCCTACGTGTGACGTAGCTCTACGCTATCACACTACGTTAACTGACTAGAGGCCCATAGGGAGTGAATAGTTTAAATAAAGTCGTTATTTTTGTTTGTTTTTGCGCACAAAAAGTATTCTCGTCGCTTGATAAAGTTAAGATTTAGCCACTGTAGTCACTTGGACTATTTTAACAATGTATTTATTAACTTTTCGAGGCCGGCAAATTTCAATTCCTCAAGAAGCCTATGGACTAGTATGGAGGAGTGATCCAGTTCTCAGATTTCATCAAAAATATCTTAATTCGTGTTCCGAAGATGAGCGAAGGTCTTACGGGGTTGGAACAACATGAGGGTGAGTAAATACGGACAAAATTTTCATTTTTTAATGAATAGTAATTATTGTGAAAATGGAGTATAAAGGCCAGTTCAACAAACGCTGATCAATGTGGACAATCAGCAGATTACGGTACGTCACTTCTCAAACACTTTGTGACTTGGAAAAGGCGATTGAAGGCGCTCAATGGGGTAACACACGGATCCGTCAAAACCCGCCGAAGTGTATTGCCATTGGTCGCCGTCTGTCGGTTCAGTGTGAATTGGCCTTAAAGGGAACTATCCCTTTAATAGGATCTATACAGTGGCAGCCTGTCAATAGATGCCCACTAAATGCCCATCACTGCCCAAAAACAAACTAAATCTCCAGTGCTTGCGGATCTACATTATAAACCACGTTCACTTGAACAGCAGTGAGGAAGTGCCACCTATAATCAAACAAATGACACACCAAAAATGTGGCGCCCAAAAGGGGGCTCAATAGATTCCGACAAAAAATAAAAATGGGACTGCCTGAGTGCAACCATCAAGTTTTTTCCTTCCTTCTTTTAAAAACCATGCACTGACTTTACATTCGTCTTTCGTGTCATTTTACCTACTGCATAGCTATCTGCCTAGTGTACACCTCTGAAACTCGCAATCACTTTAATTTCGAGGCGGCAAAGAACAGCATTTATTAAAAGAAACGCCCCCTTCAACGTTAACTATTTATCAAAATAGCAGCTAACTAATAATGACAAGGCTAAAACGTAAATTTGTATGACTGAATCTTTTTCCTTACATTTAAGGCATTGGGACTTGCACATTTGGAAGCAAGACTCAGACACTGGAAGTTAAATTAGGAACAAGCTAACTACATTGTGTGCGTTAATTCAAGCAGTGCAATTCAAACATAAAGCACGATAACCTTGCATCACTACTAGCTCCACTCGCTTTAACGGGATCCAGAACAGTGCCATGCATAAAGCGAGTATGGGCATGTTTGTGTGTATTGTGAATGTGAATTTGTGTGACAGCGGCCACTGCGTGCACGCAGGCACTCATTAGTACATTGTCTAATTTCAAACACATCCATTATCTATCGATGCTTTGTGCAGACGGAGCGGTGCAGGTCAGACAAAAAAGGAACACTGATATTGGAAATTTGGTAGATTTTCCATCCATCAAGTCTCTGTTGTCATATCCTCCCACACTGAAAGAGATGAACAAGGACACCCTGCATTGCATCCACTCGCTGTTGTCATGGAGACACCTTCAGATGAGCTCCAAAGCTGCTGCGCTTTAAGAGTTTTCAGCAGCCGTATTAACATATAGAAACCAACTTTAGTGTTGATGACAAACTTGATGAGTGAATCAAAAAGGGTAGAGTTTTCAAAGGATTGTTGGATGAGACGAGTTTATAGCTGGCTGTTAATTAAGCGACTGGACTATTCACTGCCTGGGTGGAATGAAGCTTTGTGGCGACCGCCTAAAAACCTACCGGTGCTAAACACTATACCCCACTTTCTCCCAGTTCTGGCTTTGTTGGCATATCGTCCTCTCTCCTGTCGTGGCGTTCATGGCAGTTGCGGGTGAAGATGCTCCATTGGTAGCCGGCGAAAGTGGGGCTGATTGGTATGTACTTGAAAATGCGATGGCGCCGCAGGAAGTCCATACCAAAAGGAAGGTCGTAAGACTCCATTCTTTCCCGTTTAGATGTGCTGCTTGCACGATTCATTTTACGGATGCCCCTTTCCTCCAGGGAGCCTGGAATAACATAGAAACAGAATGAACTAAGCATGACCAATGAGAGAGAGAGAGAGAAAAAAAAAAGTTTAGAATGTTTAATTAACTCTTCGAAAAATGTTGGTGACTTTAGTCGCATTAGCTATGTGAACACTAAAATTCGTGGACAATAGGGCTGAAACGATTAGTCGACAATAAAAAATAGTCGACAAATATCTTTGTTGTCGACTAGTCGTTTAGAATGTTTAATTAACTCTTCGAAAAATGTTGGTGACTTTAGTCGCATTAGCTATGTGAACACTAAAATTCGTGGACAATAGGGCTGAAACGATTAGTCGACAATAAAAAATAGTCGACAAATATCTTTGTTGTCGACTAGTCGTTTGATCTCAATGTAAGGTCGTGCAATATCGTGATTTGACCGCTACTGCGCTGTGGCGCTAGAGTGTAATGCAGCACTTTACAAACGCTATTGCGGTAAAAGAAAAAAAAATCTGGAAAACTTAAAGAGAATGACCACTTTAGTTGGCTCTAAGTTCATTAAAACAACTATTTCAAAAGCTGAACTGATTTTCTTTTTTTATATATTATAGTAAGAATATGTATAACTCAATGTTTTAACTAATTGAAAGCTGAATAATCGTTCCAAACTTACTGATTAGCCGGCAAATAAAATCGACAATTAGTTGATTACTCGTTCTAATAATCGTTAGATTAATCGATTATCAAAATAATCGTTTGTTGCAGCCCTAGTGGACAAGTCCACTTGGTTCCTTCATGGTCTAAAAACACCAACATAAAAATACAAACAAATAGAGCTCCACACAACAATTTTTTTATGAGTGTGTTATGAGATTGGCACCTACCAGGAATAGTATTATCCAGCACAAACGCCACAGATCCTCCAACAAACATGGCAGTTGTAAGCAGAACGTTCAGCACCTGATCTATCTGCACTATACCTATGACAGAGGAAAAGAATAAGAATGCTTACATTGTTCCTCACGTACTCATTTCGCATGAAAGTATGCATGCATCAGTGTTTGGGCATCTACCAGTGACGAGGGGGTTTTCTTTGAGGTAGCTGGGCAACACCAGGCCGAAGAAGATGGAGAAGCCAAGGACAAACAGGTTGCGGGACGAGTTGAGATCCACAAACTGCAGGTTGGAAAGGCCGACGGCAGTGATCATGCCGAATAGCGTGCAGAACAGCGCTCCCAGAACTGGGTCCGGCAATGATGCGAATAGAGCACTGAATTTACCCACCATACCTAGCAGTAGCATCAGTGCTGCACCATACTGAATAACCCGCCTGCTGCCCACCTACACACAGAGAGAAGAAACACTCATTTATTTTCATTTAATGTACTACATTTTAAGCTAAGGATGTCAAAGCAATTGTTGTCAGTAATGGTTAAAGTTTCTAAATATAGATTTTTTTCTGTGCAGTTTGATGTCGCTGATCTATTAAATGATATGACAATCGCACAAATGACAACAAAAACACTGTTATTTATATACAGTAACAACTGAGAACATGTTAAATGATAACCTATCAACTGAAATACACAAAAGCATGGGGTGGGTATGATTTGTAATGTTTAAAGTCTCTGATGCTCACCAAGGAAGTAATTATTTGGTCAAAGAATATAGTAAAAACAGTAATATTATGTGAAATTACTCCAATTTAAAATGTGTTTTTTTTTTTTTTTTACTTTAATACATTTAGTAAAATAAAGTGTAATTTATTCCAGTGTGGCAAAGCTGTCTCTTCAGCATCATTACTTCATAACTTCAGAAATCATTAAAATATTGTGATTTTGCTCCTAAAGAAACATTTCTTGTTATTGTTGATGTTTATACAATTGTGCTGCTTAATATTTTTGTGGAAAACCTGATGTATTTTTTGTCAGGATTCTTTGATAAATATACATTTTAAAAGAACAGCCTTTATTTATAAATCGTTTGTAACATTATACACGTTTTTATTGTCTTTTTTGTCAATTTTAAGTATTAATTTCTTTAGAAGGAAAAAAACATAATAACCCCAAACTTATGAATGGTAGTGTCCATGATATGAAGTTCATTCCTGAACTGCTGTAAACACGGCACTGTGGGAGTACATAGCCAGAGAGAGCTTATTTCTTTAATGAAGTTCACTGGCAACTCAAGAGCTGCTCTCTTCAGCATTTACGGTCTTTATGGATCCACTGCAGTCACATGATGCTGTGTGTCACATGGGCTGTTCACTGTATGTGCTTTTACCACCCAGCTCCTTGAAGCCAAGCACCGTTGGTGGGGAAACTGGTTTACCAGTCAAGATGCTGCTATTTTGTTTTCCTTCGTTGTAAGTAAAATCACAAAATGTCGTGGCCTACTGGTTAGAGAGTCGGACGTGTAACCCAAACGTTGCTGGTTTGAAAATGCAGGAGGGAAAAAATGCAGATGGGGGAGTGAATGAACAGCGCTCTCTATACCCAGGACTGAGGTGCAATGGAGCATGGTACCTAACCACCAATCGCTCCCTGGGCACCACAGCAAGTGGCTGCCCCCTGCTCTGGGTGTGTGACCACGGTTTGCAGTGTGTGTTTTCACTGCTCACTGCTCCTAATGTTTCCGCACTAACTTGGACGGGTTTAATGCAGAGGACAATTTCTGAGTATGGGTTCCAATTATTGGCCTTAAAGTCACAAAAGAAATAAGGGAGGTTGAATAGGAAAAGATCCTACTTTTGTGATGCCCAGCACTCCGATGTTTGGGCTAGAAGATGTGGAGCCATTTCCTGTCCCAAAAACGCCATCAAGGACACAGGAAATGCCCTCCATAAAGATCCCTCTGTGGAAAAATGTGGAACAAATTAGATTAGGACAAAAAAACAAGCTAGATTTCCATCAGTTTTTATATCGCGTGCTGCTGTGTCTTGGTGTTGTACCTGTTAATGGCATGTATAGGTGGAGGAGGGGCACAGGAGAGACGGGCACAGGCGTAATAGTCTCCAATGGACTCTATGATACTGGCAACCACAGCACTCAGCATCCCAATTACCCCTGCGGCTGACACTGTAGGCAACCCCCACTGGACTAGAACACACAACCAATCAGCATTATTGGCAATCTAAGCATGTTAGTATACAGAAATACCTATAGAAGGATTATTTAATATATTATATTCACAAATATGCTCATACATTTGACTGCTTTAACACACAAAAGCTCTTCATAGTAGGGCTGGGGTAAACGATTATTAACTAAACGATTAGTTGGGCGATTATTTTATCGATTAGTCGACTAATCTAATGACTAATATAAAGAATATTTTTTCTGCTGCTCAATTAATAAAAAAACAATATCTCAAATAAATACTGGCATACTGAATCAAGATACTATAAGCTGGCTAACGTTAGTCTAATGTTATGTATTTGAACACCATCATTATAACTCTACAACCGCCAAAACCGTGTTATTAAAATATTTTTTACAAACATTTTTTATCATAGAGAATGTTTAAATATTAATATCAGCTGAGGAGGGAAACGGAGGCGGAGTTAGTGGTGCGATCGGAGGCTTCTACTACTGGAGATGAATCGGGAGAGGTTTGTGCACCTACTGATCAGAGCGTGTGCTGACACGGAGTAAAGCCTTGTTTGTACTCGACACGTCCGCACGAGCGCGAATGTGCGTGCGGCAAAAATGATGCGTTGGGTGCGCAAGACCAGGAAGACTCAAGACTGTGGCTGGCTGTGTGTACGCCTTTTTTTTTGTAACAGCACGCCCGGCGCCGCATCCGGAAACGACTTCAAGCCGAATCTGCCCGAGCTTGTACGTCTCACCACACCGGCACCTAGTTTGCGCATCTAAATTGCAATTTTTTTTTCTTAAGGGTTTGTTTACTGTGTGTGATTCATTTAATGGATAGCACATTCACTTCTAGTTGTCTTCGTCCTCTATTCTGCAATGTTTCGGCCTCCCACGTGTGTGTGGCAAGCTGTACCGCCGGGAACATGCAAAAAATAAATAAATAAAGAAGCGTCGACGCAAAAATATGACGTCGACGCAATTTTGACGTCGAATCATCGACGCGCCGCTACAGCACTACTTCATAGTGAGCTGCCTACATAGGCATCATCCTCCTAAATGTCACGGAGCAACCTATGTAGCTAATAACTCTACATATTTCAATAGAATTTGGTGTTAGCACATTGCTACGTTGTGATACTTTAATGCATTAGCATTACTTTGCGCATTAGCATTTAAAGAGACATGCACTGAAACAGTTCGCTGTGAACAGAGCTGTTTTTGAGGGTGTAAAAAGGGTGTTGTTTTACACAACCATTGAGGAATTTTAACCAAAGTATGTTACAAACTTTACATGGAGACCCCAAAGAATCATACCAACATCTGGAAAATGGGCATTCGATGACCCCTTTAAAGTGGACCAGATTCGATATGCACATACACTGTATATTATATATTAATGAACCACACACACTTACAGGGGTAAGGTATTTTAAACCAGGGAGCGGCTGCCAGGATGCCCTGTCGAGCATCTGTTCGGGCGTAGAACCCATATTTGCCCTTCTCAGGAGGAAACACGTCAGTTACCGTGAAGATGAAACACAGAAACCATGACACAAGGATAGCCATGATGATCTACAGAGAGAGAGAGAGAGAGAGAGAAAGAGAGAGAAACCCAACAACTTTAAAAAAAGAAACCCAGACTTTTGAACACAAAACCAGACATGTTATCCAACCTCCTTAACAACAGCAGACAACACTGACCAAATAGTCAAGGATCAATCTGTGTATATTTTGGCTATCCTCTATCTGGCTCCCACGCTTACTTTCATTGCCATGTCATTGTCTGCTGTGTTTCCATTAAAAAAACCAGGCCCCAAAAGACCTCATCTCTGAAACAGCATGGCAATTACGGCTGTCATCAGAGATTACAAGATTATGAGCGCTGCCAAGGGTCTGAAAGTGCCAACTCATGCTACTGGGAGCTGGAGACACCAGACTGCTAATGAGCATGATAATTCCATTCATGGGAATGAGGATCACTTTAGAAATAAAAGATGCAGTAAACTGATTTTTGAGATGTCTCACACATTTACCTGCCAATAGATTAAAAAAGCAACATTTGCAGAGGGAAAATAATCAGAGATGATCGCTTGAACATATATATATATATATATATATATATATATATATAAATCTACTTTCAGCTGCTATGAGATTTTGGTGTTTTATTATTCTCATATTCTTTCACAATTTTGGCAACAACAACAAATATAATTTTATTATAAAATATAATAATAATGATATGTACACACACACACACACACACACATATATATACACACACACATACCGACACAAAAGTTTGGAATTACAATTACATTAAATTGGTTTAATATTTTGAAAGTCCCTTATATTCACCAGGGCTGCATTTATTTAATCAAAAATATAGTAGAAACAGTACAATTTTGAAATAAAATACTCTCTGTTTTCTGTTTAATACATTTAAAAATGTAATTTATTCCTGTGATGCAAAACTGAATTTTCAGCATCATTACTTAGTGTCGCATGATACTTCACAAATCCTTATAATACGCTGATTTGCTGCTCAAGAAACATGTATTATATTGTTGTCAATATTGAAAATGGGCTGCTTAGCATTTTTGTGGAAACAATGATTTCATTCAAACATTTGAGGTAAGATAAAAAAAGAGAGAAATGAATACTTGTATTCATCAAGGATGCATTAAATTGAGCAAAAGAGATTTAGATCACCTTTATAGTGTTACAAAAGATTTCAGTTTAATAAATGTAATAAATACATTTAATAATGCAAATAAATGCAATTTATTGAACGTTCTATTCATCGAAGAATCCTGAAAAGTTTCACCATTTTCACAATAAGCAGCACAACTTTTTTCAACATTGATAAAAAGAAGAAATGTTTCTTGAGCAGCATATTGAAGGATCATGTGACACTGAAGACTGAAGTAAGGATGCAGGAATAAACGACATTTTAAAATGGAAAACAATTTGTTTAATGTACACAAACCTTTGACAGGTACCGTGTATATATTCTCTACATCTTTATGAGCTTTCTTATCTTGGATTAATGTGGAGAAACTCACTGGGAACATCTTGAACAGCTGGAAACGGTAAGACGTCCAGCCTTTTTTAGATTTGTAGATAGGGAGCGGCAACTGGATGTTACGAGCATACTGAGAAAACAGCAGGACCAGGAATATGGTTCTGTTTAGAAGAGCGGAGAGAGAGAGTTTACACGATGAGTCCACAGAGCCAAAGATTGGTTGCATAAACAGCCAAACGTGTTTGTGTGCAAGTCGTACTCACAGCATGGCAATGCCCCAGTGTTTGCCTGCCCTCTCTCCAGCAGCCCGGAAGCCGGAGAGTCCGATGAGGGTGACAGTAGGTGTGATGGTGAGCGGCCCGATGTACTTCAACAGGACACCTGGCAAACCCAAGGCCCCTATGACCACCTCGATTAGAGATGAGACTATTATAGCACCCTGGATCTACAGAGCGGGAGAGAGAAAGTAAATCTAATCATACAAACAATCTAAAATAACCAAACAAAGAAGAAAAAAAGGAATTGATAATAAAAAGTGGTAAAGGTTAAAGCCATTAAGGTAGAAAAGTAACATTGACAGTCCTCTAGACAGCGTAATGCTCCATTTAATCGAATTCAGCTCAAGTTGCTTAATCTTCATGTCTGCCATGGTTTAGACCAAAATCAATATTGAATCTGTTTACACAAGTCTCTTAAAAGACAGACAAAGAAACAAACAACAACAAAACAAGCAAAATTGTATTCATACCTTAGAAGCAATATTTATAGTGGCCTCTAAGAGTATTTGAACACTTATCACTGCATTACTTCAAAAGAAGGTCTGGGTATACAGTTATTCCTTTTATTTGTATGCTAATTACATTTTTATTGCAAGTTATATGCATATTATTATATAATTGTATATACTAGTGACAGTATATCTTAATTTACACACATTTCTATTTTCTATTCTGGGTAATGAATAGAACAATGTTCTATTCTATTTCCTATTCTGGTTAATGTTCTGCAACTTTATTAATAAATAAAATATTAAGCAGCACTGTTTCAACACTGATGATATCCATCCATCCATCCATCCAATCTCCTGTAGGGTCATGGGAAAATATTAGTGTTATTTTAAATGGTTTTCTTTCATAATATTACTGCTTTCATTGTATAGATCAAATAAATATAGATCAAAAAGTCTCTTATGCGACTGGGTCAGAGTATTTCTGTAATGGCATGGCTTGTGTGTTGCTTCTAGTCAGCATGGTGAGAATTTACCTACAGTGGTATAAGAAGGGACAAACCACAAACTAGCAAAAGGGTGTTGGGCACCCAAGGCTCACCGATGCACGAGGACAACGGAGGCTTTCCTGTCTGGTCCGAGCCAACGATAATGATGGTTATGGTTGGGATGTGTTACATCACACTATGTACGCCATCAAAAGTGCCTTCAATGGGCACCAGAGTGTCGAAACTAGATTTTAGAGCAGTGGAAGAAGTGCGCCTTGTCCCGTGAGTCCTGATTTATTTTACATCACGTGGGACGATGACAAGCTGGTGGAGGGAGTGTAATGCTCTGGGTAAAGTTCTGCAGGGAAACTCTGGGTTCAGCCATGCTATTGGTTAACGATCCAGTTTTTTATTTGCAGTGATAGTGGTCCTATTGATGTCATGACAATTTTTTTTACATTATAGCCATGTTCATGCTCATATCCCAGCTACGCCTACAGCCATATCACCCTGTAGCTCAAGACTGGTTGCCCACTAAAGCCAAGTAGGTCAGAGCCTGGTCAGTACCAGTATTTTTTGATGCATCTGTGAAGCACTTTGGTCAACATTCGTGTTGTTAAAATGTGCAATAGAAATATACTTTGACCTTGACCTGGAGGGGAGACTTCCTGGGAAAACCAGGTTGCTGCTGGAAGAGGTGTTATTGAGGCCAGCAGGGGGTGCTCACCTTGTGGTCTGTGTGGGTCCTAAAGCCTCAGTATAGTGATGGGGACACTATACTGTAACAAGCTCAGGGCTTCGGATAAAACATTAAATTGAGGTCCTGACTCTCTGTGGTCATTAAAAATCCCAAGACACTTCTCGTAAAGAGTAGGGGTGTAACCCCGGTGTCCTGGCCACATTCCCTCCATTGGCCCTCATCAGTCAACTGAATTGGCTCCATCACTCTCTCTCTCTCTCTCTCCTCTCCACCTATAGCTGGTGTGTATCGAGCAGTTGTTCTGTGGCTGCGGTCGCATCATCCAAGTGGATAATGCACACTGGTGGTGGTTGAGGAGAGATCCACTGATATGATTGTAAAGTGCTTTGGATGTACAGCAGTACATAATGAATTTCCTCATTCATTCATGATAGCACCTAGGGTCCCACAATCCCATGGAGCAATCCTGTTAAAACCCACTATAGACCTTAACTTTCCACTATATTTCATTAGTTTCACACCATTTCCTCTATCGGTTTTAAGTTCCTTATTAAATAGTTCTGTTCTCATCTCTTTCGGTCTCTTTGTTTTAACACACCTCTCGTATCCTGGGGTACCAGATGTCTTCTGTGTGAGGCAGCTCTGTGGCATTTAATACAGCAAAACCTGCAGAGAAACATGATAATGCAATTACTGACTGAAAAGCTACATAAGTGTGAGCAGGGTTGCCTAAACTTTTTAAGTCCTGAAAAAAAGGAATACTTTAAGCTTGGGGTTGACAAAAATTAGATCTTGATATTTTGGGGGATTTTGTCAATAATAAAAATAAAAATAATATATTTGGTAACACTTTATTTTACAGTGTCCTTGTTATATGTGACTTGTACTTACCATAGCAATAGAAGTAAATTATTCATAATTACAAGCATCTAACTCTCAACCAAATCCTAATCTGACCCTAACCCTATAGTAAGTACAAGTATAAGTACATGTAGTTGATTAATATTACTCAGTACTTAATTACACTGCAACAACAACACCTTAAAAAATAATGTGTAACTTATATTTTTTGACTGAGTGTATTTTTGAGCTGGTTTATATTCTGAAATCCAATTTTTCATAAAGGGGCAATATTTAAGACATGGGGAAAGTCTTTCTGCAAGTGGGAACCCATGTATGTGTGACATGTGTACCTGTTGTGTTACATTTCCACTTATCCAGTGAAAGGATGGCTCTTGATGGGGCGAGAAATGCAAAAGCACTAGCTTGGAACAATGGAAGCCTGGAAGCAAAACACACAAAAACACAATAAGCAAATCACAAGAACACATACCCTTAAAAAACAACAACAACAACAACAACAACAACAACAACAACACTCTTGTGCCTTGGAAGCATCTATTATGTGCGGCTGACAAGAAAAGCTTTTAACCCCATCATGAGGTCACTCCTGAGCTACTCTTCAAGAACTCCAGAACTCTTCAACTACTGTTCCTAAATACTTTCCAACAATACTATTTACAGTTGACTGTGTAATATGGGATGAATTTCACGAAGGTTCTTAATGCAAAGGTGGCACCCCATCACAGTACCATGATTCACTGAGCTCTTCAAAAAAAGACCAATTTTTACCCCACAGATGTGTGTATAAGCACACTATAAAAAAGTTGCTGCCTTAAAGGGGTCATAAAATGCCATTTTCAAACAAGTTAATTTGATTCTTTAGGGTCTAAATAAAAACTTTGTAATATACTTTAATTAAAAATTCCCATTAGTATTGCAATAAAACACCCATTTTACCTGGTCAAAAACATCTCCGTTCTCAGCACGCCGTTTCAGTGCATATGCCTTTAAATGATGAGCTTCGCTCACTCCACCCCTCTGTTCTGCGGGCGTTTTGACACAATGCACGTCGAGTGTTGCCTTGACAACAGTTGAGAGTATATTTTGGAGGAAGAATGGCAGCGGGAGTCTCTGAGGACACATCTGTTCAACCGCATCAGTTTGAACCAAAGTCGCACCCGGAACAAGATGACGGCCGCAAAGAACTTCGACAATTAAGACTCAAAAAGGACATTTCTGAATGGTTGGTTAAAGTAATGTCACTTTGATCTATCTTTGTGTACTGGCAGGGTAGAGTAACTTAGTGAGCTGTACGAACGCTATGTGTTTACTGATGCATACGTACTCAGTTTGTAATTACACAAAAACCATAACGCATTGTTCATTATAAACGCGAGATTATGAATTATATTGAGAGCGTCGTAAACTACATAGAACACATGCCGTATTCATTGTGAAGCGTGCAAATGATTTGCAAAGATTAATATATCTTCATAAAGATCTTCCTTTATAAAGCAGTCTGGTGAGAAAAGATTCGCGAATCGCGCAAACATGAAAGCAGTGACGTTGCTCGTGGGGAATATTCCCTTCGAAAATAAAACTCAGCCACTGCGTCTTCAGTGGCGGGTCTGTGTGGAAACGCTGCTGTCAGTCAACAATCGTGGGAGGGGCGTCCGACAGTGTGACGTCACATGGTCAAAAGGCTCGATTTGAGGAGATTAAAACAATATAAGGCGGATATAAGGAGATTAAAACAAAAACACTGGATAGATTTTTATCATTATATGATGGTTGTGTACAGGCACTGCCAACAGACCAACAGTCCAATCAACTTGAAAAAGTGCATGCATCATTATATGACCCCTTTAAATTAAGGACAATCACCTTGGATGTTTACGTAATTTCATCTTATATTACATTAACTGACTGAAAAATTAGTTGAATCTAGTATAACTTACAAAAAAAAAAAAAAGAAGTAAATTGCTTATTTATTTTGATGAGTTGAAGCAATGTAAAAACATGTTGTCATAACTTATTGATCATTTAATTATTTACAGTGCAGTGTGCATGGCTAGGGGCTTGATTTTATACACCTGTGACAATGGGTCTGACAAAAATACACGAATATAATCATTAAGAGGTGTGTCCCAATACTTTTGTCCATTTAGTTTATATACACATCTGCTTTTGGATAACAAGTTAACTTGCTATGAAGCAAGCAAATGTTTTCAAAGATTTACGCCACTTGCATGACACTGGCAAATCCCCTGATAATTTCAAAATAAATACTATCCAAAAACAAATAAATAGTAATTTATTCATCTTTAACAAGTATATCATATTATTTTTTATGATATTTAATATAAATATGCAAAATATAGCAAAATTACTTTCTAGAAAATTTAGAAAACTAGTGTAATAACTAAAGCCAGCAGAGAAATTAGTTTGTGAATTGATACATATTCATTGTAATGCTCATGAGACATTTAGTGGCTTTGCTCAAACCACTAGATGTCTCCACACACACACTTCTCATACGTCACTGATCTGTCTTCGAAGTCTACAAAACAAAGCCAAACTCCCGCTCTCATTCTTTTTCCCCTTATCTCTACTTACGAACACTAAAATAAAGCGTTGTGCAACCATGATAATAAAAATGCAACTTAAAGAAAAAGCATGTTTTACAAAATCTACAAATTGAATACAATAATACAGATTATATTGAAAAAGGTTTGCATTAATATGTGTCCAAATAAACAGAGAAAGTTTAAGGTTAAAATTTACCGTTTATGATTAAAGCGTTTAATCAGATGTAACATGTATCAGGTATCAGTAGTGCAGAGTTTATCATCATTAATATACTATAATAGTTTTTGTTAAGATTTTCAATTAGATTTCTGTTTTATTTTGATTTTAGTTAAAAAGTTTTTGTATTTTGTTGTTGTGTTTTTGTCTTTTAATGCATTTATAGTTTTAATTTACTTATTTGTTTTAGTGATTTTAGAACTAAGTAAAATAAGTTTAAGTTAAATATATATATATATATATATATATATATATATTTTTTTTTTTTTATTTAATAATAACCACTAACTCAGGCATAAAAACACACTAAATTGAAATATACTAGTTAATATATAGGTAGAACATAAAGGCCAGTCACATACAGTGACTCAGCACACAGGTCTGACGGAAACACTTGCCTTGCCTTTCCACTCTTATCTTCCTCTCATTTCCCTTTTTTTTGGTCACTTGCTCAGGTTTCCCTGGAGATAGCATGTGCCATGAGCAAGTGACGTCAGAACAGAGAGATCAAATGCGTAAGACAGACATCAGACAGCCCTCTTACACATTGGGCAAAGTGGCCACAAAAGAACATCGAGTGCAAGACACAGAACAGGCCACGTCTAAATGTCTTTATGACATGAACAGCCTAAAAGATCAGACCTCTGATACTCACCTTCCTCATTTTTCAATTTAATGTGCCTGTTCCAAATTCCTTATACACGTACACTGTCAATTCATGGTTCACTGTTGGGGTTTTATGTTCTATAAAACTGTATGGCACCATCAATTACATTAAAGTGAATTACAGCAGCAAAACATTAACAGTGGCAACTTGCAGAGGAAATAAGAGTTTCCTGAATTGCAGTGATTGATGCTTTATAGTTTGGTACAAGCCTAAACAGATACAAAGCACTGCTTATTTTATAAGGGACCAGCATGCACTCGTTTGTTTTAACAATCCTTATTCAAATCAGAGGTGAGGCCACATAAGGGCAATGGAGGTGCTGGACATTCCACATTGATCTACCCACTGTCTAATGGTTTGTAAATTATATGAATATACAAAATAACTAAGAAAATTTCAGATTTTAATATTTTATCAATGCAAAGCTGAATTTTCAGCATTACTCCAGTCTTCATTGTCCAGATCCTGCAGAAATCATTCTAATATACTGATTTCATGATCAAGAAACATTTACTCTTATTCATTTAGAAAATACCATTTCGTCTTAATATTTTTGAGGAGGATTTTTTATAGGATTCTTTGATGACTAGAAGGTTACAGAACAGCCTTTATGTGAGATTTTTTTTCATTATAGAACGGTTAATTCCAATCCTTGATTCTGATTGGTCAATAGTTGTGCTTTATTCATGATAAAACACGGCTATGACCGCTTCACCCAACGGTTTTATTTATCACTGTGCAACACTGCAGTTCCTATGTTGTTTTTATATGAGCATTCATGCATATTATATTACACATTGGAACATTGTTGCAGTTTACGGTTAGGGGACTATTTTTTTCTAGCGGAAGGAAGGCTTTTAGTTGTTTTATTTCACGAAAGTTGCACTAATACCCATATTGGTAACACTTTACGTAAAGGGAACATGAATTATCATGAATTTATGTATAAATTCATGCATGAATTATGCATTCAGTCATGCATTAATATCTCATGAATCATCAGGAACTAACACGAGTTAGATATTTTTCACTCATGACTTCATGAATGAACAACACCTTAATCTAAACATTAACTTAGATGAGCACATCATCATGAATAATTATTTATTACGCATGATCATGATGTTTTCTTTGTTCTTTGTCTAGGTCAGTGACCTAGTCACCACTTTAGTTGAGGGGCCACACACATGATGACACATAATTCATGCATTAATTTCCACATAAATTTAAGATAATTCATGTACCCTTACCTTACAGTGTTACCCATATTTTTATTGTGTGGTAACCGTTTTATAAAAGCAATAAGGTACTCGAGACAAGTGCTGTGTCGTGAATAAGTAACAGCTGATGGGCGTTGTTAGGCACGACGCAAAGTGGCACAGCCTCTCGTACCTTATTGCTTACATAATTAATGCTACAACAGTTATTGGTCAATATTGGAGATTTTTTGTTTGCAAATTATCTATCAGTATCTATATGACTGAATTTCAAATTAAAATGATACCATTTTAATATTGGGCATGCATTGGCCAAAACATGAAAATAATACATGCGTACATTTAGAAACAAATTTAATAGCCAACCATACGCCTAGGAAACATAAGAGAGGGAGAAAAAAAAAACAGAAACCCACCGAATTTCATCTTGGAACACTTTAAAATCTCTCATATTGTGTCCTTTCCTCATTCTCAAGCCACAATAAACAGCACTAGCCAGACTATGTCAGACTTTGTCCTTCAATCAATTTCAGTTCGCTTCTGTACTCAGTCTGAGATAACTGAGCTATATGTCGCTTTCCTCCGGCCTGAAAACAGCCGACCAATCAATGAACAGAGGGCGGGCATAGACACTGAGCGCAGATTTTAAGATGGTATTTTAGGTTAGGGAAATCGAAAACGACCGCGGATATGGAGACACGGGACGCAATACGCTCTGTTGTGGAGAATATTCCTGAAGCCCGAACAAGAAGAGTGTTTGTTAAACATTTTGAATGGAGGTGAGCTTTAAGTTGGAGAGGTGTTTGCGTTATGTGATTGGCTTACGGGTAACCGATTTTGTACTTCAGAAAAGCCCCCCCACGAGAAAGAAAACACTTTTCAATTATGCCATTCCAGACTCGGTCTACGAAGCAAAGCGAAGTAGCAGAGTTTGGTATTACCAGGCTAAAACAGCACCAGTTTGCTGTTTGCTGCCTGAATTGTAGCACTATAAAGAGCCGAAGGCCTTCATTACGGAGTGATTAAAGACCCTGAAAGATCCACAGATGACCACAGCTAAAATTGAACAGAACAATTTTCTCCAGACCTCCTGCTACACCTCAGTTCGATTTTGTTCCAACAAAAGCAGCTCTCCAAAAAAATATAACCATACAAAATGAAAATTGTAATTGGAGAAGAGAATGCATTTAAGAGTGCACGCAGGAATGCTCTACGCACCCAGTTTGTGTTTTAGGCTGTGTGCTAAACTAAAGCCAGTGAGGAAAAAAATAAAACCTTTATGCAACAGGAACAACCTTCCTCTTCACAGAACCGAGTGAAATATTTCCAAATCTAGGTTACTGGGTCACTTCACTTTTACGAGGAGACAGGGAAACGAAAGGGAAATAAAGACAGAGAGATCAAAATAACAGAATGTAAGGTGGAGGAACAACAGGGGGAAAAACTGACAAAGTACTAAGCATTGAACTAAACAACAATATAGTAAAAAGAGAAATAAAAGGAGACTATACAGTTTTTCTTCTTTACATACATTATGGAAATGCGTATTGAAGTGTCAACAGACTACAACTGAGTAGGATTACATCACAATGAGATAACATGTCCAGACATGCACAGAAAAAAAATTACAGCATTGAAGACTGTAAATTCTAAGTTCACCTTTGTCAGGTCATGACGTTTGTGCCATTGTTCTAACTTGCCTACCCAAACCACAAGCACAAGACATCCTGCATCGCAACGCGCTAATAATGTGCGTTCATTGTAAACAGGCAGTTTTATGATAACAATTCTGAAAACTGAGTTTCCACTGATGAACTTGAGACAACACCGGTATTGTGGACATGGGGTATCGACTGAGATATTGAAATAACTTTTGATTGTGAGCTCACTTAACACTTTCGCAATCAGGAGCTGTGATGGCCAGGATTTATGCCACACATTAATCTATGCATTGATCAATAAATAAAAGGACATTACTATATTGGTTTGGTTTAAGATCTTTATTTGTCATAAACATAGCTAAAATTGTTAAAGTTCATCTTGTAATTAAGATGACTTTAAAATGTTTTAGTACCTGGTTTGTTGTGGGAATGGACCAGCATAGTCACAGAGATTCAAACAAGAAGTTGATCTGTGTTCATGGGAATTCTAAAGGAAGTGAGAATGTACCAACTTTGACGTAATGGAGGGGACATTGGAAAATGTGACTTTTGGTTAATGGAATTCTATGGCTCTAAATTTAGTTAAATGTATTGTGTTCATTCCAGGTTTTGTATTGTTGCTGTTGTGAGAATTTGTATGGTTTTGCTTCCCTTGTGCTGGCCACCTCCAATTAATTCAGTGTATGTCTTGTCTAGTAAGAGTCTTGGTACTCATTGTACCCTGGAAAAGTGGTGCTGATTTTGGTCCTCAGTAAGTTTGAGAGGCTCAAGCTCTATTATGTCCTTTTTGAATACAGGCCATTTCCTGTGATGTAACCAAAATGGATTAGTTTAACCATTATAATTTTTGCCTTTTTCCTCTCTAATGAGGCTTGATCACTTTTTTTCTTGTGTAAGAAAGATTCATTAAAGACCGTCATAATTGAAGACTTTGCTCCCTGTTTTGTGGCGATGGACTTAGTTTTTGTGATTTTCTAAAGCTCATGGAAGTTCCATCACAGGAGCATTTACTGTATAAGGAGTGGCATTACTGACGGCACATTTTACAACAAAAGATATTAGTCAATGATAGTCAGGGTGTGTTGTCTTTCTTTCTTTTATCTTTCCTTACTTTTGTCATGTGATGAGTGAAATCTGACTAAATGGTTTATATTTCTATAAAAAGCTAAACGATAGAGTGGGTGGGGTAGGTTATGAAATCAGTCTATGGCTGAACACATGTAACACCAGAGTAACACTTTTAAGCATAAGACTGACACGACACCTTCACAATCATGACATGACACATGTCATGAAAATGAAGAAGTTTTATGCATGTTTATGACAACGGTCATTTAGTGTCATTCGCTTAATTGTGACATTTTGAATGCAAATATGACATTGTTTGAGATGTCTTTGTTATGACAAACTATTATCGAAATTTAATTTGTCATTAAAAAGTTATATTGGCTTCATGACAGCCAATGTCAAAACCAACTACATGAAATTTTAATGTAATGTTAACCCATAAAGCTAAGGGGTTTCTTAAGTTTGATAATTAATCTGCTATGTCATGTTTATGACATATTTATGACAGTTTGTGTTGTCTTGGTAAAGTCAATTTGTCATAAAGACATCTCAAACAATGTCATATTTGCATTAAAAATGTCATAATTAAGCGAATGGCACTTAATGACTGTTGTCATAAACATACATAAACCTCCTTCATATTCATGACGTGTCCTGTCATGATTATGAATGTGTCATGTCAGTCTTATGCACACCCCTTCAAGTAAAGTGTTACCAACACCAGCAACACCCGACTACCGTAGCTAGCCTATTCTACAGTGGATGTTATCATCTTCTCTACCATAACTCTACCAAACAAAAATAGAGTGAAGCAGATGCAATACTTGCCGATCTAAAGTGTGTTTGTAAACTAAGCCTGAATCTAACCTCCTGAAAATAATCAATAAAACCACCCACATAAGAAACAACATACTGTTTGTACTACAAACATGAACACAATTTACTGAAAACATACACACACACACACACACACACACACACACATACATACATACATATATATATTTATTACAGACATATATACATACTATATTTAATATATTTATATAAAGTTACATGTTAACTGTCGTACTTGTTAGTTGAGTTGGGTAAACTCCACTGACAGTGGAGCAGTGCATGGGATTCCCCACACAGGCCAAATTTGAACCTTTGTTCCCCATTGCTCAATGTGTCTGGAACATTTTCTAACAAAATCACACTTACCGGCAGCCAAAGGTAGTCTGCAGCAGGGTGGTGATGCCCACGCAAAAGAAAATGGTGCCAATCAGCTGACTGGTTGCCCATTGATCATGACCCACACACATGGCTTCAGCCAGCAGGAAGGGAACAGCGATAGTTCCACTGAAGCAGGTTAGGTAGTGCTGAGGAGAAATTATGTGGAAAGAAAAGAATTTCTAGCTTTTTATCGCTGTAATGAAGAACATCAAATCTTACACAAGCCTAGGGTAACTGCAGTAAATTTAGGTTCACTGCTATAAAGTCAAGGGTCACTGCTTTAAAGTGTATGTTTCACTGATGAAAGTCGGGTCACTTCTTAAAAAGTCAAGGGTCATTACAGCAATGACCCACAACTTCACAGCGAAGTCTAGGGTCACTGCTGTGAAGTTGTGGGTCCCTCTAAAAGTCTAGGGTCACTGCTAAAAAAAAAAGAAAAATCAAGGCTCAATGCTGTAAAGTTGAAGGTCACTGCTGAAAAGTCAAGGATCACTACTGTAAGGTTAAGGGTCACTGCTGTAACGTCGAGGGTAATCACTGTAAAGTCTAGATGTCCCTGCTAAAAAAGTTGAGGGTCGCTTCTTCAAATTCAAGGGTCACGACTAAAGTTCTAGGGTCACAGCTTCAAAGTCTAGTTTCACTTCTGTTAAGTTGAGGGTCACTGCTGTAAAGTCAAGGGTCACTGCTGTAAAGTCAAGGGTCACTGCTGTAAAGTCAAGGGTCACCACTTCAAAGTATAAGTTTCACTGCTGAAATTTAAGGTTCACATCTTCAAAGTGGAGGGTCACTGCTAAAAGTCTAGTTTCACTGCTGTAAAGTTGAGGGTCACTGCTTTAAAGTTACGCGTCACTGCTGTAAAGTCAAATTTCACTGTTGTAAATTGGAGGGCCACTTCTTTAAAGTCTAAACTTTACAGTCACTGCTATAGTTAAGTCATAGCTGGTAAATAATCATCTTCTGGGGCTTATCACTGTGGCTGTGTATGCGTTTGTACCTGTAAACCCAGGAACACACACAGGTACCAAGGTGGTGTGTCCTCTATGGTGTATATCATGTCCATTCTCTTGGCATCTGTGCTGTCTGCACTGTCCACAGTGTCTGACATGGAGCACTGGTGGGGAGAGGAAACACAAGACACATGGGAGTTAGACTATGGGACGTCCCTATGGTAACCCATCCCTATTACAGAGAAGCTGAGTAAGAGCTGTACACTATAAATGGCATCACAGCATGCACACACACAACCACACACCAAAACTGCAGGCAATTCAAACGGCACCAGAGGGAGATCAGTGACATTATATGAAATTATCCTGAAACTGCTTAATAAACTCGGTTCTAATCTTCCAAATTGAAAGACATTACTATAAGAGCTATTCTGTTACATGTTAAAATAAGCTGTAATGGAAAAATATGTACCATTACTGAAAACTAGTTTTAACAATTTAACCAATTAAACCACAAAGCAAAGATACAACGTTTTTCAAAGCAGTAAGATTAGCCTTCAGCTGTCCCTTGCTACATTTATCTTTGTTTTAAAGACAAAATCGGTTTTGTGAAAATGAAAAACTAGATTACCAGTCAAATAATTCTCATTTTTGACAGATATTACTGGCAACACAGAAACAGAAAAAAAGTCAGAAACCCAATGCGTTGCATCAGCATTGCTGTACTGAAGGCAAACACTGAGGAAATTCCACTGCAATGTTGTGACCTCCCAAATCCCTGATCCCTCTCTGTGGGGGAAAAGTGCCGAGTCATAATGACTGAGCCATTACCAAACAGGGCTTAATACAGAGTGGATAAGCAAGACTGGTACGAGTAGCCCCTTGATTTAAAGGTGAAGAGTGTCATTTCTACACCAATAGCATCACCAAAACTCACCTTGTCTTCATTCTGGCTGTCTTTTGCGTAAATGGCCATAAGTTGCGTGTCCTCTGCGTCTTGATCTCCAGGGGTTTGCACGGCACCGTTAACCACCTGTTAAATACAGAGATATTCGCAAAGATCACATAATTACCAACCAACAAAACAAGGAAAATGTTTGACGCTACTAGCAAACTTTTCTATCGTTATCACAAAAGATAAAAATGTAATGTGGACGTATCTGTAAGAAATCAGACAATAATTATGCAATTATGTAGTTTAGCTTGACACACAAAGGGTTACGATTCCAGAAGCTTTGGTTGTCTTTGCCAAATTCAAATAACAAGGTTTCAGTGTCAAGCATATTTGTTTTACCTTACGCCCTCATGACATTACACCCCAACACTGACGAGACTTATCTGCCCACTGAAGTCCACAAGGGCAATTTCACACACACATTTCAAAGAAAGAGGGTTATGCAGATAAGTGATCGCACTCATGTAGGGGGAGAGTTCGAGAAAACAATGATGGTCTAGCTGTACACGGTTTTTGGTGGTTCTTCATGACATCATACTATACAGAAGACTCATGACTCCACAAACAACCTTTTGTCTTTCAAACAATAATTACATACAGCAATATCTTAAAAAAGGCTAGAGTATTAGAAAAGAACACTCATTTTAATAATTAATCAACAATTGAGAACGATATATAACAAAAGAACAAAACAAACCCAAAAGAAAATAATGATATAATCCACATAACTGTTATAAGATAGTGTTTGCTATGTAATTGTCTTTAAGTGGTGGGGGCATGACTAAGGGAAACTTGAGTCTTGACATGAATGTCTTCATAATGTGCGAACAGATAAAGTTACAGAGCACAGATCATAGTGAACCGACTGATAAAGGGACACTTCTGTGGAAGGGTGAGATAAAAACAACTCTCTAATAGATAACCTCTTATAGAAGCGCTCACACAAGACAGTAAACATTGGCTTCTTGACATGTTTATTAAATGGTTCATGCAAAAATGACACTTCTGTCATTAATAACTTCCCCTGATTACTTGTACTTTCGTTGAAGATGAAAACCTTCGTTCATCTTCAGAATACAAATAAAGGAAAAAAAAGAAAAATGCAATGCCATTACAAATTTTCATGCTGCGGTTAATTGATTGAGCTTTTATTACGGTATACGGTATTATCACGATATTTGAATTGCTCAAGAGAAACAGATGGATTGTGGGCATCTAAAAAACAACAACTTGCGTCACAATGTGTAATTGTGATTTTTAAAACATGTCGTAACTAGTAACTTCGTATTGTAACTTTCAAAGTAGCGAAAATGACCTGTCTAGTGTAATATCTAATAGGATTTTCTCACGAAGTCAATGATGGGATAAAAACATCACCTAGTCAACACCTTTATGTACAGTATACAACGCCTTTTTCACTGCAACTTCAGCAATGTTGTCAACTAGCGCTGGATAGCCTACCTGAGGTAATTTTGTAACACTATGCTACACTGCATAATATCTCATTGTGAATACTTCTCACCGTTTATTCCCAGGATTCGACCGATTGCTTTCCATACATCCCTCTTTTTTAACATATACTTGAAAAGGGGCTTTGACCTGTCTTTTTTTTTTGTACCTCGACGATTAACTTCTCTGCAATGTCATCTGCCATTTTAAATGCGCGAGACCTTTAAATTAGAATGGATTCTGATTGGTTGTCAGTGTTTTATCGTTGGACAGCTTAAAAAAAAAGTTCTGAAAGTAATCCCAACGATATCGTTCCTCATATATTTATCGTTATAGCTGTGGTGTGAACTCTGTTATTCTTTAATATGGAGAACGATTTTTAGAATTACATCTTTATAGTTATCTTTATTATCGTGCTTGGTGTGAACGGCCTATTGGATATATTATTGGAAATTTTGAAGTGCACGCGATAACAATATCGTGCATTCTCATTACCGCGATTTATCGCATTTCTGAATACGGCACATGTCTGGTTGAATTAAGTCGTAATTTATTTTTTATCGCACAAAAAGTATTATCGCCGCTTCATAACATTAAGATTGAACCATTGTAGTCACATGGACTCTGTTAATGAAGTCTTTACTACCTTTCTTGACCTTGAAAGTGGTAATTGTTACTATAGGGGGTCAGAAAGTTCTCGGATTTCATCAAAAATATCTTAATTTGTGTTCTGAAGAAGGTCTTGCGGAACATGAGGGTGAGTAATTAATGACAGAAATTTAATTTTGGGGTGAAGTTGAACTAAGACTTCAATAGTGATGCCGGTCACGTGTTACTCTAATCTGACCACCGGTAACGAGTAATATTACGTATTACTATTCCCAAACCAGTAATCAGATTCAAGTTACTTAAAGTCACTACGCGTTATTTTTGTCATTTTCCTAAGTAAAAGTTGGGGATATAACGATATGCGATATGAAACCGAAATTGTGACACTCAGATCCAGGAACCCATGTCGCGTGTGAAGGCAGGATCGCGACACACCCCAAGGAGTTATCCTTGCCGTCCAGGTACAATGCTACATCTTTAAATTCAGTCATCGGTCTACACAGAAATACACATGCCAGTATGTGACAACAAATATTAAACTTTTAGGTTGCAAAATATGTTTTAGTAATTTTGTGAATTACACAGCGCAAACCAACGGTTATACTACCCACCGGATACAGAAGGGTTGGCCCTCCACAGAATATAAAATATCATTTTATTTTCATGTTCACATTTCTGAGGAAAAAACAATGTTACGGACGTGAAAGTTGTCCGTTACGGACATGACCGCTCTGAAAGCGGCACTAAAAGACTGCTTTAAAACTTTCACAGAGACCTCAAACAGAAAGCACAAAGCCTTTCTTCTAAGTGAATTTCGTTTTGTATTAATTGTAAAGCACCACCCTTACATGTTACATGAACGCATCACCACCGTCATTATTTGCGATTGTGTCAGCTAAAAAGATAGCAATTCGCCTTATTCACTTGGCGGCCATTTTGAAAATGGAACGCCGCTGAGGGGTACACTCACCCGGAAGGATGCATGCGACGCAGCAGCACCAGCAATGAAAACTCGCAGTGCGGACCACCAATCATTCCTGTCTGCCCGAATTAACGATGCAAAATGTGAAGCAAAGTGCCAGTGACTGAAACATCCCCCGGGCTGTGTTAATTAAGGGATACAATACCTGTATCGGAGGTTTTATCCACGACATTGAACGTAAGAATGGACGCCAATTTACCTCAGTTTCTGCAAGCTTGTAGGAAGTTGACTGTGTACTATTAGAATCTATACAAATCCATTACCATCATTATTTTTATTCTTTATGAATACATATATGTAAACTTGTATTGTCACCATAGCAGCTTATTATTGTCAGTGTGTAAGGATCAGTCCCTGTCAGACCTTAAAATCACTTCTCCTCTTTCCTTTTACATACATGAGTGATTTGATTGTTTTACATGCGTGTGTATGTAAGCTACTGGATGTGTATCTAAACAATAAAGTACAATTGTATCTAACATAGTAACTTACACAGTCAACAACTCCATATTACAGCTTAGCTTACTAACGTTAATTACCTCTGGCTGCTGAAAGCTCGCAGAAACTGGCAAGGCGTCCATTCCTACGTTCAATGGCGTGGATAAAACCTCCGATACAGGTACTGTATCCCTTAATTAACACAGCCCGGGGGATGTTTCAGTCACTGGCACTTTGCTTCACATTTTGCATCGTTAATTCGGGCAGACAGGAATGATTGGTGGTCCGCATTGCGAGTTTTCATTGCTGGTGCTGCTGCGTCGCATGCATCCTTCCGGGTGAGTGTACCCCTCAGCGGCGTTCCATTTTCAAAATGGCCGCCAAGTGAATAAGGCGAATAGTAAGGTTTGTTGTACACTCTGTGCTGGTGGCGACAAAGTGCTATCTAGTTACAAAAAAAAAAAAAAAACTGCCAAATTTGAAGAAACATTTGGAGTCAGGTGAAGAAAGACTGTCTGTATTTTATATTTTAGAAAAACAAGTATTTATGTTAAGTGCAGTCAATAAAGACCGTCATTGTTTTTTTTTCTTTTTTTTTTTAATAAAAACATGCATTTATGTTAAGTGAAGTCAAGAAAGACTTAAATGAACCTGAAAAAAATACAAGTTTTTAATAAAAAAGAAAGTTTAATTTAAAATGTCAGGAGATACATTGTTGACGTTACTGTTAAAAATGCACTCCCAATAAAGTGAGTGTTGGCAGAATCGGTTGTCATTTTTATGTTGAGGACGGGTGTGTTGTCGGCAGCTGCTGAATGTAACTAACAAATAACTTGTAATCTAACTTAGTTACTTTTAAAATCAAGTAATCTGTAAAGTAACTAGTTACTTTTTAAAGGAGTAATCAGATTACTTTTTCAAAGTAACTGTGGCAACACTGCCCTTTATTGTTTAAACATGCATGTTTAACAGCAAAAACACTATCAAAAAGCAGCAGCTGGTTATTTCAAGTTGTTCAGTTTTTTCTACTTATGAATGAAGCTTTCATGCAGTGATAAGATAACATACATATGTTGAGGGTCCAAATTGTTACAAAAACCAACAGTATATTTAAAATCGATAACACTTTCAAACAGGGTTTTATTAATTAACTACATTAACATGAACTAAGAATGAACTGCACTTATACAGCATTTAAATTAATATTTAGTTAATTTCAGCATTTAACAATATATTATTAAAATCAAAAGTTATATTTTAACATTCGTTTATGCACTGTGAACTAACACGAACAAACAATGAACAGCTTTTTTTAAATTCAAGTTAACAAAGATTAACAAATACAGTAACAAATGTACTGCGAATGGTTAGTTCATGTTAGTTAAAACATTACATTTACCAAATGAGACCTTATTGTAAAGTGTTACTATTAGATTAGTAATATTTTACAATATGGCTCTATATGTTAACATTTGGTATTACAATAATAAATAATTTTTTACCATTAATTAATCTTGGTTAATGCTAATTTACAGATTATTCTTCACTGTTAATTCATGTTTGCTCTTAATAAACCTTATTCAGATCAACGCAAGTATGAAAGTGAGGCTGTGAGGGACAGACTTACGTTGTTTTCAATTGAATCTGCGGTAAAAAAAACTGTATGAAGCTCATAGATCACTTATAATTTCCACAGCTCATATTGTCTGGGTTTTTTGTCTACTGAAATTTCTCTGAAAGATATTTTTGCAGCGTTTCGCCTGCAGAACAATCCAAAAACACACTGAATGTAGAGAACCCACTGAAGAGATGTTTGTATTTCCCTCAGTCTCGCTTTCATTCCCTTAAAATCAAATATAGCGATACATTGATTAATGTTAAACAACAACTTGAAATATAGTTTTTAAAAGGGTATTAGTACTATACACTATCGTTCAAAAGTTGCAAAGATCTTTAATTTTTTTATAGAAGCTTCATATACTCACAAAGGGTGCATTTATTTGATTAAAATACAGTAAAAAAGTAATTTGGTATTACAATTTAAAATAAAACTTTTTTAAAAAAAATTTCATATATTTTAAAATGTAATTTATTCCTGTGATGTCAAAGCTGAATTTTCAGCATCATTACTCCAGTCTTCAGTGTCACATGACCCATCAGAAATCATTCTAACATGCTGATTTGGTGTTCAAGAAACATTTATTATTATTATTGTTAATGTTGAAACCAGTTGTTCTGCTTTTTTTAAGGATTCTTTGATGAATAGATCAACAGCATTTATTTAAAACAAATCTAAAAAAATAAAAGTACTGACCCCAAGCATTTGAATGGTTAGTGTATTTATAACACCACTACGTTTATGACTTGTGTGCGCATCTTCAAAAGAAATGTAATGCATGCCATAATGGTAAATCTGTTGTTTGTCATTACTGGAAGTTTATTGACACAGCGGTGTAATTGAAGAAATGACAGACTTCGATTCAGTGTCTCAACACGAAAACGTGACTTGTAGGGAGAAAAAAATAAAAAATAAAACTGCTCGGGACCTAAATGTTCTTAATGCTGTTTTATATGATAATGGACTTTGCTTTATATGATAATGGAAAGTAGGAATTTGCATAACACACTGACCTGCTTAAAAAAGTACACGTGAGCATGCACACATGCGGTTAACACACACCCTGTCCTGTCGCTGTAATGATAGGCTTAAAGATATTGTATTTTAGCCCTATGATTAGCCATTCCTCACACACACACACACACTCACAGGGATGGGATAGAAGTGTGCACTGTGTTTGTTCTCCTCTTCATATTTGCCAGGCTCTGCGGTGGACTCCATGGATTTGGAGGTAGTGTTTCTACCAACACCCATTCCTATTCCTTCCTCTGGCTCTGTTCCTCTCCTCCGCTCCCTCTCACGCTCGGGTAGAAACACTGCTTCTCTGCCTGTCAGCACACACTCATGCTCCACGGATTGGCCAGCCAGATCATCTGAGGTGAAACAGAGCAACGCTATTAATGAATGAAATAACCTAAATCTAATGACTTCCTGCAATCATTCAACAAAATAAAACAATCCAAACAGTCATAAACCTAAATCTAATTCACTGAAAATCATCCCTTTAAATCATATCTCGTGTTTGTCAAATAAAAATGGAACACTTCGCAAAGTCAAAGGCAGAATGAACTGGACAAATAACTTCAGCAATGAAATACATACAGAACATCTCAAGTGAATAATTGTTTATTTACTCGAATCATATACCCACACTTTACTATGGTTTTGGACTAACAATAATGTGTGATCTACAGTAACAAACACAAGGAAAGAGAATGTTGAGAGAATGATAAAAAAGAAGAAAAGACTATTAAGAAGATTGAAAAAGAAGGACTTTTGAAAAGAAGATTGGGAAGTGGCATGGCAAAGATAGGATGGAAAACAGAAGCAAATGAAAGAAAGCGTGAGACTGGAGAAGGCCAGAGCGCTTTATCAAGCGGATGTTGTTGATTTTGTTAACAGTTAAGTTCTATTTACTTTTCTTGTGGCCTTGGGCCAGCACCCTTCCCTATTAATGACCGTGATTAGACATGACAGTTCACCACCAACGGCTGCACCCTTCCCCCTACAGCCCATGATCCCTCAGCAGCCTTGAACTCCGGGACGATCACATCTGCTTGGTATCTAGAAGGGGTTCACAAAACCCCCCTCAGCGCTAAACACACAGTACCAGATTCTTACACGTATCCAAACTAGGAATCGTCATGACAAACGACAAGATATTTTGTCTTCTTGAGTAGCCACAACCACTAGGACATCTCACTGGTCTAAAATTCAGCTTCACACAACTGAACAATAAACATGAAATATTAAAATAAAATAATATAAATATCAAACTTATTAAATTATGTGTTGTGTATTTAATTGTATTAATAATATATTATATGTATTAGATATAAATTTAATATATATTATTATTAATAATAATAACACATATTTTGTCAATCACTTGTTTTTTGTGTGGATTGGCTTCAGCTCCTCTTACTATATATTAAACAAGAAATATAAAGGTTACACATGAAAAATAGAAATATATATTTATATATATATTTTTTTTCTGGAAAAATTTAAAATTCCTATTTTCCCACAATTCTGAATAAACACGTGAAACAATGTTTATATGTTAAAAAATGTTAACTGCTGCAGATCAATTAATAATGTTTAATTAATTTGAATTAATAAAAAAAAAAAATGAAGAAAAAACGGTTTGAATGAATGATCCAATGACTCATAAATACTTATTTTTCAATTATTGGATGAATCAGTGTTTTTGAACGATTCTCTTAAATTCTTTGACTTCGTCATACTCATATTATTGTCAGAATATGAGTCTGAAACTCCTCCAAAGGGTTTTGATTATTAGGCGTGTCTTAACCGAACCAGGACAAAAAAAAAACAAAAAAAAAAACTCTGCACTCAATTGGATAGTCGGTAAACCTACAACCAATCAGAGCAGCACAGTAAGTCAACTACTTTGCATACAATTGTCAACTACAGAACTTACTTATTTTAGAAGTAAAATAACGAGTGTTGCTTCTTTTACTTGGTCCTCCATGAGTGCGACCAAAGGAGAAACCACAACGACCCAAGGCTTTTCATTACGTCCCATCTTCTTAACGACCGTCAGAGCCAGCTGATAAGTTACACTTTTCCCGAATCATGTAGGAAGGACGCCAAAAATATCTTTCCGATCGACAAATGCCCTGATTGCAGTTCTCTGTTTGTCTATTGAAATTAATGCGCTGTTGATTTATTTCACAACAGTCGTGACCGCTGAATCTATACATCTCAATTCTCCAGCTGCAGTCATCTTCGACAAGCGCTCTTTAATAACGTGATGATTACGCCCCTGCAGATCATCTATCCATCATCGTATAAAGCCCGCCCTGGCAATTTGATTGAGTTCGGGCTGGCTACTTAAATTCAATTCAATGACACACAATTTTTTTTTAAAAATCACTTGTCGACACCTACTGGTGTAATAAATTTTAAATGGTGATTTACTCTATTTTGATCTCTACTGTAGACAACCGTGTTTAGGTCGACCTATAAACTTTTATCCCAGTACTTGTGATAACCTCCAACACAGAAAAAATGATATGTGGTCTGTGAGCCTATCTGAGAAGCGGTTTCATGACAACTGCTCTCTGTGGGTCTGAGGCAGGGAGAACGTAGATTTCAATGTTCGTTGTGATACGTAGTCATAGATATAATGAATAGTTGTACAAATAATCGAGTGGGTGTTTGAATCAAGATCACAATCTTTGTGTGTGTGGATAATTTCCTCATTCATTTGATCTACATACAGTCAGACATGTTTTAAAGGCTTGGCTAAATTAATTCTGGGCTGTCAGGATGCCTTCATTAAAACCAAAATTACATTAAATGTGATTATGGCAATGTAAAACAAAACAATGACAAGGATAATGTCCAATTAAATGATACCCTCAGAACAATCTTTCATTAACAATATGCTCAAATGTGACTTTTAGATATTGCAAGTGTAGCTGTCTTCTTAAAACAAATCTTTTTTAAAGTTTACCCAGCGAACTGATACTAAGACTGACTAATAAAGTTGATATTAGATGTCTTAGTCTATTGAATTTTATTTGGAAATCAGGTGTCCGAGTCATGCAAATCCAAGTGCAACTGAGGACAGTAAAGAAATAAGTACCTAGTTCACACATCACTCCCACCAATCTGGTCGGCCGGACGCATCTGTGTAGGAGGGGTTAAACTGGGAGAAGGGGATAAGGTAGGGATATGGAAAAGGAATGAGGGTTGACAAAAAAAGAAAGATAGAGGAGACAGGTGTTAATCAGCAGCCAAAATGCAAGCCATTTTTCTACCATTCCATTTCAAATCTAAGCGGTTTAATAAACATTGATATTCTGAATGTGAATGAATGCAAAGCAAATCTTTGCAACAAAATCTTTGGCATGCAGTTGATTGCCACAGACAATATTTTGGACTCTTCCCTTAGTTTGTACAAACAAAACAAACACAGTGTTTGCTGTAATGCTCATTTCCTTTCCTTTAACTTTCAAACCAAGCAGATTTTGGTCGGTCAATGCCGTGACCCTTGTGAACATACTGCAAAATTTGCTTGGGGATGGTGGTTTTCACCTTCACGAGACATTCACAGTTTCCTACTGAAATGACACAAAAATTTGTTGACTAAAAGTAAATGTGACCACTCTTTAAGTTCCTAAACCAAATGGCACCCTTTGTTCTGTTCCTTCTTGTGTCATTTTACTCTTTGCTGACTGGACTGCTGGGTAAAAAGTGTGCTCTCTGCAAAACAGCATACAGTAGTTGTAAAGTGGAAGCTAGTGAGCACCCTACTGAAACAGAAAATACGACCAATTAAATGATAAACCTAAATAGGATCTTTTATGAATGTTGGTGGCACAAAGTGATTTGGAAGGCAAACGTTTTAGATTGATTCATTTGATTAAATTAATAGATCTGGACAACAAAATGAGTGTTACATTAGCATTAAACATACTATACATACTAATAGCAATAAACAGACTAATACTATTCCAGTACTATAGTAACTATTTTGACAGATTTAAGGCTCATTCACATCAAACTATTGGTAGCTAAAACAATAACTATATAAGAGTACACACACTAACTCACAATAATGTTATTTTTATTATAAGCTTTCAGCAGTTATGTTGTCTGTCGCTTTAAATGTTCAAGCTCTTTAAAGCAGTTTGGATTTTGATTGGCGGTCAATGTTTTGATTGTTCATCAGCTAAAAAAAAATCGTGATTTAAATGACACTGTTCCTCTGTGCCATCATTGTAGTGGTGGTGTAGACTCTGTTATTCTTTTACATTAAGAACAGTTTTTAAAATGGAAATGGACTAAAACTAACTTTTTGCCACACCTGCCAATGGCTGGTGACTTTGAAAATTTACCGGCCATAAATATTTTCTTTACCAGCCATGAAATCGATTATTCCTTACTAAAAGTTGCAAAAGTTATTCGGTCAAGAGCAATGAATGATTGTTCTTTGTCTTTTGTTGTTTGATAAGAATGAAAAACACAGACAGCTGCAGAAATATTACTGCTGTGACTTAATAGTGCAATACTGGATCCATTATACGGTTAAACATTCATTTAAGCCATAACGGACTACGTTTACAAGGATACTTGCCAAGACATAATCCTGTTTAAATATGTCTGTTCAAGAGACGAAAAAGTTCAATTGGATTTTTGGCACATGCTTCAGATGTTTGCGCAGAAAAAAAGCAAGTAACGAATTAAGTTACAGTTGGCCATGCTTAAAATTTCATAGTGATGTAATACTGCCCCGTCAATGGTCCAAATGCAACCGCCCAACTGGAAATTAACAGTTTCATATACTCGAAAACACCGATTTTTACTCACATTTGGCACAGTTGGCGAGGGTTCATTTTATGCCCTGTTGCTACCGTTATAGTTATTGTTCTAGGTGTGAATGGGCATTACATCCTGATTTCAAACAGAACCAGATCCATTTTATTATATGGCTGGCAGATAAATCACAAATCTAATAATCAAAAACAAGGTCGACCAACACAAATCCACACAAATCTAGAGAGAGCCTGAGGTGGACACATTTGGAGCCATACAAATATTTGGCTAACTGAGGTGACGTATTTCTAGTATATCAATGTTGGACTTCAAAATAGCAACCTTAAACCTGTAGAAAACCATCTCACTTGGAAACAATTATTACTGGAGCAAGACTAATTCAATAAACTCATAACAGCTTTAAGACACCAGAGAAAGAGAATAAATGAAGAACTTGGTGTTTCAAAGTCAGCACTAGTTTCTACAGACTTTCATTGTTGAATGAAAATATTAAAGTCCAGACATCTATTTTGTAATAATCCCACAACAATGCCTGTTTGACTGGTCTGTCACACTGGTGACTAACGTTTGAAACACATTTAATTTTGGTCAGCCATGATCTTATTACCTCATAATTACAGCTTACTGATCCACGTTTAACAGACCTAGACAAACCAGCCTCTTCAGGAGCACATTTATAGACAAAACACACGCTGAGCTCATTTCTGCTAGCCTTAATGACGAAACGTATATTAGTCATTCGGTTATGGCGGACATTGAAAGACATTGTCAGAATATGACAGTTTATCGCATACAGCATAATGTGTCACTTTGTCTCATGGCAATTAAGATGCGTGTCAAAGCCAGTCCCAAAGCTAAACAAATTTATCCTAAAAAGGCATCAAGTTCTTCCACTGTCTGCAGATACCAATTTGTTTGCTGTTTGTTTATTTTTTTGTTTTAATTTTTAATGCCATGTTAGCATAAGGGCTATTTGCAAGGCAAACAACAGGACAATATCACTTATTGATTAAATTAATAAATAAAAATTTTAATTATTGTATAACATTTCAAACTGACATCTAGCATACATTCGGATGAAACATTCTGAAATATTCCACGTAAACATGTTTCTGAAAAACAGGTTTACAAGGAAACAAAAAGTTTTCTAGCAGCATAGGCTTAAGGAGGAACTTCCATGAATAAAAACCCATGTGTCAGTCCTGAGTGATTCGGTCGGCGCCTAGAGAAGCCGACTTGGCCACGTCTTGATTTTAAGTTAAGGAAGACATACAACTTATTTTTGTACTTTTTATTTTCATGCAATTTCTTCTGTAACTTGTTAGTGATGTAGAAGTTAAATGTCTGAAATCCAAAGTTGGTATTTGACAGTCAGATATGTCTGGGTCAAAAGCATCCCTGGCAGCCGTGCCCGCCCTCTCATTACCAGTCAGGCCAATCCGATTTGGAAATCTAATATTATAAAGTTTTCCCTCTTTGAAAGATCTAATTTAGTTAAAATCGACAAATATGGGGTGGTCAGTCTTTACGGATTCATGTGCTTGAAGACAAGACCTTGAGTCAGAGGCAATTAAAAAGTACCATTTTGACCCTTCTCAATATTGAATAAGAACTGGGAGTAATGCTTGAGCCTCAGCTGTGAAGATACTAGCCTTGGTCTGGAATTCAAATGCCATACTAGCTTTGATGTAAGAGAGGACTCGTAACTTAAACGTCTTCACCTAGCATATTACAAAGACCTTTGAGAGACAAGTCCTCTCTAACATCAAGGCTAGTATGTCAACTCACATGAAACCTCTACAGTTTGCATATCAGCCAAACAGGGCTGTAAATGATGCCCTCATTTACATGTTAGAGGACCCATGTACATCTGGACACTCCTGATGCATCTATGAGGTCCACATTCTTTGACTTCAAGCACATTCAATATGATCCAGCCACAAATGCTGTGCAAGAAGATAAGGAGAGTACAGTTGGATTCATCATTGACCTGGATAGTGCACGAACTATCTATCCTGCAGGTCACACACAGTGTGTGCGTCTTAATAGTGTCTCCAATACTAGTAATATGGGGGTGCCACAAAGAACAGTTCTGGCTGCATTTCTGTTTAGCATCTACACAGCGGACTTCAAGGAAAATACTGACATACCATTTGCCAGAAAAAGCCATTTAAATCAACAACAGCATCTTCCTCAAGAGATTTTCCGATGATACGGTAGTTGTCGGCCTAATTAAGGAAAATCTGGCCAGGATGCCGGGGTTACACCCCTACTCTTTCGAAAGACAACCTGGGATTTTTAATGACCACAGAGAGTCAGGACCTCGGTTTAAGGACGGTGCTCTTTGACAGTATAGTATCCGCATTACTATACTGGGGCATTTGGACCCACACGGAACACGGGGTGAGCACCCCCTGCTGGCCTCACTAACACCTCTCGCAGCAGCAACCTGGCTTTCTCAAAAGGTCTCCCATCCAGGTACTAACCAGACTCAGCCCTGCTTAGCTTCAGTGGGCAACCAGTCTTGGGCTACAGGGTGATATGTCTGCTGGCGATACTGATCAGTAACTGATTGATTGCACCAAAGGGAAAGTCTGAGCGCAGCAATACTTCCTTGTCCTAAGTGGTTCCTATTTGAACGCGGAAATTTTTATTAGAAAGGAAGTTGGAGATAAAAATGGTTAGGTTGCATCTTTGAGAATATCATCTCCAGGTGGTATCACAGGCCTTCTGTAGATCAAAAAAATACAGCTATGTTCTTTTTAAGCTGTCCCAAACAAATGATTCAAGTCTGATGAGATGATTAAGGTGCCACACCTATATAACCAGAAGTGGTGAGTTGAAAATCATCTCGTGCTCTGACTCCAGTGTCTAGACCAGACATCCATTTACCATTCTTTCTATAGTTTTGCAAACAAATGGTCAGAGCTATTGGCCGATAGGTTTTTGAATCACAGTGGTCCTTACCCAGTTTGGGAATGGGAATAATAACTGCTTCCTTCCAAGATGGTGGTATATGTCCTGTTCTCCATATGGTATTAAAGATTACCAGAAGAATAAAAAAAAAAACGGTGTCAAAAAATCTAATAAAGGATTATGTCAGGTCCAACAGGAGATCATTTGAGAGTACAGGAGAGCTCCTCCAGAGGAGTAAAAGGTTAATTATATGGTTCAGGAGTTTTTTCTTGAACGAAAAGTATAGTTCAATTTCGTACACTGTTAAATTCAGGTCGAAAGTTTTCTAGTGAATATTTCTTTTTTTTTTTTTAATGGCATTGGTAGAACATTTATTGGCTTGTGGTTAAAAGGGTGTCCTGATGGCGTATGCCGTATTTGAGGACCTTCCAATCTGTTTTTCATCTTTTGTAT